CTGTTTTTTGCGTGTTTTGACGAGGCACTGAAGTAGATTTAGTTGTTTCATAAACGTTATGGACGGTAATAGTACCATATAATTATAGTTTGTTACAAAGTTCAGATCAGAAGTCATTTAATATAAGAAAAGTGAACAACTAAGGATCAACGAGGTTTAACAAATGTTTTACCTCAATATAATCATACAAATTGTCAAATATTTGTGTGATTATTATTGTGTGATTTCCTCGAATATATAATACATTTAATGAATATGTTTGGGTATATAATAAATATGCTGCAACTTGAACCGTACGCTAGTGCTATTTGTAGTGACCACATTTCCTTTATGTTAACTTGCTTATGGTGTCATTTTTAATCTATTATTAGCCTGACAGCAGCCTTTGAAAAGCTGTCCTCTCTTTCATTGCTGAAATAATTAAAGCATAAAGGGTCACTAAACTCGACGGCGCAGCAACGTATGTATTTGGGTGACGAATTATATAGTGTTTGGCAATTTTTTGTAGATACACTTAAAAGCAGAATATTCCTACAAAAATATCAATCTGTATGATTTTTCAATGGTATGTAGAAAATTTATTCAACCCAGATTCACTTAGTATTGCAACTTGTAACGGCCTTACCTAAGAAGACATATTAACATTATTGAAAACAGTTCGAACTTGGTTTTTAGCGAAATAGCTTGTATTATTCGCTAATACAGACCATGACATAATAAGTCCTCTAGCAATGTCTAATTTAGTAAAAAAGCCTTATTTTAGAATGCATAATACACACGAAATATTGGACTTATAAATGTTTCCATTTTAGAACAAAGAGTTTGTCAAGTAGGATTAGATCACTTTGGATAGCAAGAAGTTCTCTGAGATTTATAAGAAGATCGCATAGAGAATAGCTAGACGATTCATAATGCATGGGCTGTTTGTATCGATAGTTGATGTTATTGGCACGTCTCGGTGTGTTGCTAACCTTCTGTACTTTAACCAATGGATTGCTTTTAGTTCATTCTCTTAGTCTGCCTTTTATCGATATATGTACTGCAGGTGTTTAATTTGTCACAGTTCACAATTGCAATCACGATAATACCGTTAATAATAGCAATACTAATACTACTATTAATCATACTCTGGCATTTATCCACTAACAACTATATATATATATATATATATATATATAATTTAACAAACGGCTGTATTTGAAGCTTGAGGTTGTTGCTTTTCGGCGTTCCCCCCCCCCCCCCCCAAGATCAAACAACTTGTGAAAATCTGCGGTTAAAGTCTATTGAAGTGAGATAATTCAATGAAAGATCAAAATAGTCTATCAAAGTAAGAACCGATTCAGAGGATTGTGTGAAGTTAATGAGTATTTGTACAGTTAAAAAATGCATGATGAAGTTCAACGCCATTGCGGCAAATATCTGTAGACATCTAAGACCAGGAATCCGCTAACGACATTTAGCTCCAGAAAAATTCTATCAGTATCATTAAAATATCTGTTTCTAAGTCAGTCTATTGAAGTGGTTCAGTCAGCTAGAAGTAGTGGTGATGCCTTCCCGCATCATGTACAAGAATTAGCTTACACAGGAACATGCAGTCGGGATACTTTATTCGAAATTTGTCCTCAAAACACCGCTCTTAACTACAACGGTTACAAAGCCTTCAACTCTTGTTTTCCATACATCCGATTGGGCATTTTTTTAACTAAAAGATTTATATACAGGCCACAATATAATCAGCAAGTGACCATGAAAGAGCTGTTGAACAATTTTTTCCATCTAGCAAAACTCTTTGATTTTTCACAGTATGACTGTAGTTATTTTGTATTTATCGAATCTCGGTATTATCGTTCATTTTATAATGCATAACATAACAAACTAGTTCGTTTTGGTGCTTTCTTAAGATATTTTTTTTTAAATGAAAGAGAACGTTTTGCGGAAAACCACATGATTCGTAATCAGAGATCAGCACATGGCATAAATGTTGCATAGTGATCTTTGAGGGTCATAATAAATTACGCGTAAAATATTTTATCCAAATAGCGGGTGGCTGACACTGAGTACTAAAGGCAAGAAGCTTAAAAGAATCATAAAACGACCATAACAAAACGTTTTAAATATATAGATCACTTGTGAACTTATTAAAATTTACGTAACGATCTTTGCATAGGTAAACCTTGAAAATGATAAAATTTGGATAAAAGTTAGTAAAAAAGTCATAATGTTGTCAGTAATTATAACTTTTATATGCAGGTATATATGATAATGCCTTTTATATGGATACGCTTTTATCTCGGATTCTACTAACAGAATTCAAACCAATTCTACAATAAAACAATGTGTGCATGTTAGCTTAAAACTAGGGGCAGTTAAAATTTTATATACGTAGTTCTCGGCCGTCGTGCACGATGTGTATCCACTTGCGGTTTCAATAATTCCAACTTTGAGATGCATAATTTTGTATCAAGAATACATAACATATGATATTTTCAAACTGAGGCTTTTCTTTTTCTGCCTGCCATTTCTTAGTTTCCCGCCTGCAAGCTTGATTTTAAACTAAAATGCGTGCCTAATGTTAGCTTACCTGGATTTGCTTCGATTATCTGGCCAATAATAGAAAATTATTGAAACCATTTAAAGATTTCTTAGTTTTTCGAGATCTATACGGCTAAACAAAATAGATGTTTGCCAGCAACAACTTGGTTTTCAATAGATATGTAGACGTACGATTCAACGAAGTGTAGACCTAATAGAGACTTTATTACATCGAAATAAAGAATAAACCTTTCTATCATTTAAATAACTAATGAAAGGGATCTTAGATTATTTTAAATGCATTAAACCTTCAATATACATACTTCGTGAAGTTTATAAATAACAGGATTTTTTTTTAAAAACATAATTAGCCATGTTTCTAACTTCTTGCGACAAAAAGCTAATTTAGTTCCCGTTATTATAGTGTTGCAGAGTCCGTCCACGAGGATATTGCCTTGTATAGTATCTGTTACTGTAGCGCTGCTATATTAGGTCGTCGTTTTTCTAGCGGGATGGCTTTTCAATCACATATCGCAGGTAATAAGAATCGCGTCAGGTCGGCGTCGGCGTCATTTGAAGGCTGATTTAGCAGAGCAGATACGCTAAAATTGTTCAAATTCAGGCTTTAGAAAAAGCGCCTGAGACAGAAAAGGTAAGTGGAATTTCTGGAAAAATTCGTTATATTCTCTAGCTTTTTTACGATAAAGGCAGAAATTCTGCCCAGGCTTATAAATAAAAGCGCAGTTTATGGTCAAGATACATTAGCGGACGAAACGGCTCAAACATGTCTCTGCCGTTATCGTTCTCTAGATGAAGAGATGCAAAAGGTGCTCCTTATAGTGGTCGACCAATGATGGGAAAGTTTATGAAATTTTCGTGTTGAGCAAGACCGACATGTGAGTAGCCGTGATATCGCCAAGGAACTAAACATCCGCCACAAGACAGGTTTAAGCCATTTGAAGAAAGTTAGCCGCAACTGACCAATTTCTAAAATGTTTGGTCACGGGCAATAAATAGCGGATCATTCATGTCAGTAAATTAAAGCAATGTACTCTACAATCTCTGATAGAGCCTAGACTAACGCGCCAGGGAAAATGATGTTGTGTGATCGGTAGAACTGAAAAAAGAATCATGCATTATGAGCTGCGGCAGCCTCGGAAAATTATTGATTCGGACCTCTACTGTCAAGAACTAACAGCATCACAACAAGCCATCGACAAAAGTCAGCCGGGGACCATGTTAGATTACAAAAGTCTTTAAATACCCAGCAAAAAATGAGAGAACTTGGATAGGAAATAATATAATGCCATATAGCCAGGATCTTGCAGCATCAGGTTATCATCTGTTTCGGTCAGAACTCCCTTAAATATGTTAATGGAATATGTTAATTTTTGGCCCAAAAACCACAGAAATTCTACAGTGATGGGCTTATAGTGTCATCAGAAAAATAGCAAACTGTAATCGGTAAAAATAGAGTACATTTAGTATAGAAATATTGTTTTAAAATATTGAAATTATTTGTTGCAGTTTGTGTTGGAACGGTCAATACTTTTCCAACGACCCAATATATTATGTGATGGCGCGAGAATATATGACTAACGTAATACCTTATCAATGTACTTAAAACAAAAAATTTTAAGTTTGCTTTGTTCTTTTTAGCAAATTTCTCGCAGTTTGAATAATAAGACAAACTAAGTTGGCAAATTAGAATTTTTGAGAACTCTAATTTAGAATGGTATTCACGATATTGAAATATAGCACTTATTTCATTTATTTCTCAACATTTATTAATTAGTTCACATTCTGCTAAATTAAACGAAATTGAATCTAACACGTATATGAATAATATAAGTATTGGCATAGGCTCCCAGACCGCCCGGATACTAGCGTGAGCGGAGTATCGTTCTCGAATTTTATGTTAACACTACGCTGCCAGGAATATTTCACGGGACCGTCTCGATTTTATTGTAGGACGGGTCAGACCTCTACGCTGCTTGAGAAAGTTATGCTTATAACTAAAGTTTAGGTACGCAAGCAGGTTTCGTGGCTTAAGAACCTATCGAGAAAAGTGTACCGAAAGGACGCAGTGAGATCTTTTTAATGGAAATTTCCATAAGGTCGTTGCTTGGCTTTTGGTTTTAATGTATCTAGTGCGCTCTCCGCGGCATGGATCGGATTAAGATGAACTGATTGTTGACCTACACGCGTGTTGAGTCAGACCTAAGTAAACATTGAAATAACTGCGTTGCTTATGTTTACAATGCATTACAATGCGGTACAATCCCAATAAGCTACGATGATTTGAAAATAAATGAAGAAGCTCAGTGATACAAGCGTTTTCACTGTTCAGGTACATTAATATAATGTCCTCTTAATCAAACTGCCGATTTAGCTAAACGGAACCTCGAGCTTTAAATGGTGGCTAAATCTTACGACCTATCTAATAGGATCAAATCAACACACCAGACTTGCCTGTTGTTCAACTATTGTGCAAAGGTTTTTGTTTTTATTATGCTTATCTTTTGATAAGGCCACGATAATGTAAGAAAAAAAACAAAAGAATATGCTCATTGTCGTTTTTGTGTATATAAAATTAGGCTTTCACACAAAATCTTTAGTACTGCTTGTCAAACGCATCTCGCTTCCTTATCGGATCTTATTTATCTTCTATATTAGATAATGTTCATCGATCGCTCTATATATATTTATATTTTGTTTGCTTCCTGCCTTTGCGCCCTCTTGCTCTCTCTTATTCCCTGTACTATTTATCGCTATCTCTTTACTTAGCCCCAATTCGTTCCTATAGTCTAGCTTGCCAGTTCGGCATTCGCTTCAGTGTCCTGCCCGCTTGCAGGACTCGAAACAATCGGAGGTTCCGTCATAAAAGCTTCGGCTAAAGGAAATCTTCTGGCGCAATCATCTCGGAACGATTCGATTAGCTTAATATCGATCTGGCCCATGCCGCCATCTCGTAGCAGCTGTAGAACCTCTTCGCAGCGCACTCGATCGATGCCGAGCTTGACATCGTCCCTTTTTAACATGACCCAATCTAGAGCCTCTTTCTGATTGGACCTGTCTAACTCGAACATGACGCGAGCAGCCGCGATTGCATGGGGATATGAAAATTTGTACATTTTAAAGAACGTTTCATTCAACTCCGTGGCAGTTCGCGTATTTCCAAACAGACTAGAAACTTGTTTGTCGATGACAGATTTAACTGGATTCGACAACTCCTTATTCACAACTACCGTCGATAGGAAGTGAGCCAAACAACGGTGCAACGTCGGATGATCGGGCTGCAGCCGATGGGCTCTGACAAGACTCTGCAGCATGAGCAGAGGTTTGTCGCGGCGTCGAAAGATTTCGTACGATAATAAGTGTGTCTCAATATTGTTCGGCGTTAAATCTTGTAGTGGTCGCAGAAACTTGATAGCTTCATCGAGAGCGTTCGTAGGCCGTTCAAGTTTGTCGGGACCCAGTCCATCATCAACTTTTTCCTCTTCGGCAGGCAATGCTTTCTTTTCCTTGTCCTTGTTTTCTTTCTCTTCCATACGCAACTTTTCCATAGCCTTCTTCTGTTTGTTCCGAAGTTTTTTCAACTCACTCTTGCTTAAAGTAGGTTCGAGTTCGTCTTGTTCAAGTTTCTTGTCCCCTAGCGGGTTGTCGTGTAGCTTCAGGTAGGTTTGAATAGCAATTCTAGCGGCCCTAAAGTAGAACGTATGTGATCTCACAACATCTTCAAGCCGCAGCAAGCCGATGTATGAACGAAGTGTCATCTTCCTCATACAGTATGTATGAAAGTCGAATTGGTCCTCGGTGATCTCCACAAAGTGCCGGTCCACTTCGTGACATTTTCGTAGAGCCTCGCCAGGTTTACGCAATCTGGCGTATGCGTCTGCGCATTCCGTTTGAAACCACATACATTGCATCTCGTTGAGATTCTCCATTGCTGAAACGTTTTCGCGGGTGAATTTGGCGCACATACTTTCTGCTTCGTTGATACGACAAGCTCGAAGCATATACTTCGCACATTTTGAGTTAATGTAACGATCGGCCGTGTCCAACGACTGGGCTTTGTCTAAACAATGCACAGCTCGTGCCATATTACCCGAATGTTTGAACACCTTCGCTTTGGCCAAATACAGTTCAATCAGAGTAGGGGTATGTTCGATGGCTTCGTCGATGATTTCTAGTGCCCTTTGCGTTTCCCCGCGCAAGTCAAAATGCTGGCAAGCATAGTAGAATGCCCAGACAAGTGCTGTGATTGGCTCTATTTTACCGCTAGGCCCGTCAAACGTATTGTATTCTTTTAGGTTCTTAAGATACATTTCCACTAGTCCGTGAAGAATATCTGCCTTCTCATGATCATTATAGAGTGGCTTGAGGTCGACGAAAAGCGGAGGCACTCCCTTTCTTATTGCGTATCGCATATACTCGTCAACAAGCGACTTGAACGTCTGTCCCGACGACATGTTTAGGGGCAACCTGTGCGGTGTGTGAGCGCGCGGGTAGAGCTTCTTGTATTCATCAAACATTTGAACTTTCTCCTCATCCTTCTGCAGCTGGCGAGCCTTGATCATGCCATGATAATATACTCTGTTTTCTTGGTTACGCCTGATCAACGCCTCGTAAATGGCTTCGGCCTCTCTAAACCGACCCAAACGTAAATAGACCTCAGCTCGAGTTTCCATTAATGAAAGCTTGTCACATATTAGACTTTCGTTCTTGTCGATGCGGTACAGTACTTCCTGATAATTACCCGATTCGAACACTATCTGAATTTGATAAAGTAACAATTCTGATTGTTCGTAGTCGTAACCGGTTTTTTTCTGGATCTTCAAGAACTCGTCGATGAGCTTCACAGCCATTTCGTAATCGTCAAGGAGGTGGTAACTCATGGCAAAGCCAATCCATGATGCTTTTTGCGTCGGGCGCAAGGTGAATAACTTGTGTCGTGTCTCGTTGTAGCCCTCTAGATCTCTCATCTGAATTTGTAACAAACTTAGATCGCGCAGAATCTGGATATTGTCGGGATCGCATTTTAAAGCATTGCGATAAGCTCGTATAGCTTCGTCATACTTGCGATCTGACCGTTGAAGCAATCCAAACACATGCCAACAGACATGACTTTTAACGTCTGATTTAAGACCGCGTTTAATATGCTCATACGCCTCTTCTTTTTTTCGTAGGCAATTCAAAATCAGGCCCTTCATTGCTAAGGTCTCACCATGCTCGGCGAACTTAGGATTCGACAATATCACCTTGGCCAGCTTGAGTCCATTCTTGTACTGTTTATGTTCATAACTGCGTAAGATTTTTTTGAACACGGCGTGCTCTTTCTGCGGAAGCGGCTGATTTGGAGACATAGTGATGCTGTTAATGGGAACACAGGTTTTTTAATGATTTTCTTTGCTGCTATTGTTGTGATTGTTTTCCTGTTATTTACGTTTTTTTTTACTTCTTCGTATTTATCTGTTATGACTGATTCTGTATGGGTTACGGCTTTCGTTTTAGAACTGCTGTAACTCTTCGTTCTTGATGCTGCTGTTAGTACCCAATCATCACCGGTGTTACATTCTATATATCACTAATTGCTATCGCTGTTGTTGCAACTACTACGGCTAGCAAAAACACACACGCACACATTGACGAATTAGGAATGCGACGTTCCAATCAACAGTTCCCGGTGGGAATAATGGGTGAACCAACGATTCCTGAAGCCACCACATCCACAAATCAGCATCGACCGAATAAGCTTCACTGCAAACTGGTTCACGCGTTTCTGCTCTTGCGATGCTTATCCGGCCACCTTCTTTTTTTGCAAACGCGTCGACTGTCCCGACGGAGCAATAAAGCAACCGGGGACCCTCGTGCAGTGTTTCCAAACCCAAAGCGACCTACGAATGATTCTGCCTGATTTGGATGCACCGCGCGGGGCGTAGTCATCGTAAACAACCCCTCACCCACGCGCCGGCCAGATAGAAAATACTATTAATACAGCAACATCTAAACAGCATCGTGTTCCCTGATAATATGGTGACTACTGACAATCACTTTGATACGAATTGTTCACGCGTTTAAGTGCCGCAAACAGCCCTAGTAGATGCGGTTTGGAGGCCGTAAAAGCCCACTTTGTTCCAATACATTTGAATCTTTCCGCCCCTCCGCCTAGATCCATGTTGCCATTGATCTCTGCTGACTGCACCGTGTTTGTTGGCTAAAGCGAGGTTTCGGCGCCTGTTACTGATCCGAGTGCTCAGTTAGATCTATGCGGTGGTGTCTCTTTGTGTGTGTGTATATGTATGTGTTTGTACGTGTGGTGTTCGTGTATGTGAACTTCTGCAGTCGCGGCCGCAACTGTTGTTTACTGCTGCTGTAGCTGTTAGCATTGCTGATGGGTAGCCTGTTCGTCTGGCTGGCCGCACGAGCAGGGACCGCTGCTTGGTGCTTCTCTTTGTGCTGTCGCGGCGGCTGCGAATGGTGGTCTAGCGGCTCCCACAGCCGCTATGCCGTTCACATCATAGTGTTCATGTAGCCAGGCCAGCGTGAGCGACCGTACAGTGCTGTTAGTGCGGCCGTGTGTTGCCGGTCCGTAGATCCGTCTCTATATGGCCGTGTGCCGATGCTGGTGATAGCTGCTAGCAGTAGCCGTAGTAAGACCCGTGCAACTACGTGCCTACACGGACAACTTTGCCACTGAACGGTGTATTGCAGTGTGAGTGTGCTGTGTTAAAAAGGAACAAACCAGTGGGGGATGGTGCTGCAAGTGGTCCCGCTAATCGGTGATGGACAGAGATGTGAGGCTGGCACGCAAACCGTAGTTTGGTAGCAGTACGATCAATGGATCAGTGACGATGGACCCGGACTGCAGTGAACCCCAACGCGGGCCTGCCTTAAACTAGCCGGTAGGTGGAACGCTACTTCTGTGAACGTTGCCTGGATGGAGTACGCTTGGAGGACAGGAATGAATTCGTATAAGCAACATATATGATCGTAACGGATATTTTGTTTATGGTCAGCGTATTATGGTGTCGTTGCTTTCGCTGGTTGGACTTGTGGCAGCAGCAGGAAACCAACAAGTTCAGGGACGACCTTTGGCTCTTGTGTTACTTTGAGGCCAGAACCACCGGTTCCTCTAACAGAGCATCAGGAGCTATGCTGGTTACCGAGGACTAACGTGTATGAGGTGTGAGATTGATGATGGACTACAAAGAGGTTTTGAGTGTGCACAGTGATGATCCAGGTTTATATCGCTGTAAATAAGTTTTTTTGTTCTAGTCTAGTAAGCTATGCTTGTCGTTTGCAGGTGACAATATCTACCATTGTGAAAAGACGGTCTACAGTAGGAACCTGTGTATAGAATGATTGCAAACAGTGTGTCAGTGATATTCGAATGAAGAAGACCTTCTAAAGCCTCGATCTTTATCGCCCGTGTCACTTTTTTTTTTATATTTATTCTAAAAATGTGTCTTCAGTGTTGCTTCGAAGGCATTCCTCCGTCATGTCGCCAAAGCCCTATCCAACGTAGATTGTTGAGCTAACATTCACGCTATGGCGAAGCGGCATTGTAGATACCGTACTCAGATTCAACTGGAATTATTAGGTGCCGTGAAAACTAAGAGGCGGTGTGTGACAACGAACTCTCGAATGAAAATGGCGACTCAACTATGCCTGTCTGACCTGTGCTTGCAAATGTGAGCAGCAGAAACTGGTACAAAAGAAGGTGGGCTTATCATTTAACGGGGTCTTGCCCACAAAAGCCAATTAGTTGTACTCAATGAAAACGATGTCTGGGTTAAATTAATGTTAAGCGCTGGAATGGCGAAGACACCACTTGCGCCTCTGTGTGATCTCAGATCCTTCTGCTCACCGCTGCTACTCTAAATGTGTATCAAAGCAAAGCACTCCTCTCAGCAGCCAAGCCTTCGAGAATACCGGTCATTTACCTTGGCTGCAGCATCAGGTTGCGTCGCTCGCTACATAAGGGCAGATGTAACGTTCTCCGTTCTACGCAGATAGAGGCGGAAGGTTCCCTCTTGCTACTTCTCGCAAACCTCTTATTGAAAACAAAAAAAAAAAACCTATTTAGCCAATATGAACCCAACTATAAATTGATCGGACACGAGCATTTACAGGCAAATAGTGGAAGTGTTCATTGGCTTAAACCACATCGCATAAGGTTTATTATAGATGAATATTTTATGAATGCCATGGCCTTTTTGAGTATATATAGAAGTCCCTTACCAGCCGCTGCGCTGCTCTGAAAAAACACTTGAGTTGGTCTTAAGTTGACTGAGACTAAAGTCAATCATAAGGGTCGTTATTCTGGCCTACCGGGCTTGATTGTGTAACATACCTGTTACACTTTATAATGATAACATTAGGCTTGTTCCCACGTGATAACCAATTTATGCGAGATTTATACGATTGCAGCCCCAGATAGTCAAAGAGCGACATCTAAGGTGAAATAGCTTAAAATTATAAGAACCAATGTGAGGTTATGAGTTTTACAAAGTTGCGTGTTCATGTCTCACAAATTTTACCAAGTTCGAAAGTAATAGATCTCGGAATATAATTGACTTAAAATTTGGAGGCCTTATTTTGCTCGATTTTCGCTAGTTGGTTATCATTCTTGATCTGTTTTTAGATCGGTCTCGCCCTCTTTGTAACGTGTGCGTACTTAACCAATATATTTGAAAAAAACAAGCGCACGCTGGACCATACATTCTTTTTTTATCTGGGGACACTAACGGCATTTAAATTTGTTCAGCTATCATTCTTTCTTTAACAACATGTACTTACACTGTCAAGTATTAGACTGGATAAATCCGGCTGGATATATTTTGGGGTTTTCTTTAACGGGCCTAAGAAGAAGTATATTAAATATGTCATAACAACCATTTGCTAACGCTGAAATTTGAACCAGCGATGATCGAATGTTCATGATTTACGATGCTATTGCACTCAAAGAGATACACATTAACCACGCAGGCCATGTTGCTCAATTTGCTGTGACATAGCTTGTAGTTAAGGGCGCAGGCAGAACTCGCGCCCTCAAACGAAAGTATTTTATTTCAATCTGACTGTAACAAGCTGGCAAAACTAAAAACGCCAGTGTCTCATTTGCTTTAACTATAACATAAACATTTGTACGTGATACCAAATATTAGGTCTCACATTTCGCCGACAAAATTCTTAAAAGTCACTAACTGGATTGGGATTAGGTAGTGGCTTGTTACTCAGAATATTAGCACCTACATTTTTGCGCAAAATTGATGACAGTTCGATTCTATATAAGAACAAAAGGGCTAAGAGTAAGTTACCTTATATTTTTCGAATGAAAATATTTGAACATGGAATATGCTTATCTCTGTATCAAATTTTTCTCTGAGGCTGTTATATGTATTAGTCTGGCTTCTCTAAATTTTCAGTTTAATTAATTAGGGTCAATGAGGATGTTTTAATTAACGTATTGACCACGAAAGTTGGTGTGCAGATGCTTAGCAAGAACAAGTTGTATCCTTAGCGAGACATACACTCTCGTGCTAAGAAATCTAACCTAGGCCCTTGATCGTTTTATTGGTATGTTCATTGTATTACTATTGTTATTTCTGTATCAGTAACTCGTAACCCAATACCTGTACCTCAAACAGTACTTGTATATTATTTATTTCCGCAACAATGTTGCCTGTCATCAACTGTGCAGTAATCTCAAGCTAGAAATCTGCGTCGAAAATTAGCAGGCGAGGCAAAACAGTAACACACCGCATGGCGTTACGATTTTGTATTTGATTTAATTTTCTATTACGAATAAGTTTCTTACTTTTTAACGACAGAATATCAGCCCACAACTTCAGTGGACATAACTGGGTACAGTATGATTACAACAGAAGATGAAAAATTTATTTTCTTTTTCAATTAGCCCAACTAGTATTCGGCTAAGATCTATTAAGCACAAACTAAGTAGCCATTGTAGCAGTTAACAGAGTATAACTCCAGATGCAGTACATAGCAAAATTATTTTCTACATATTTCATCTGTATGGCGGCAGTTTTCATGGCGGTGACGACAGCGGTATAATATAAGAGTAATAATAATAATAAAGCTCTAGTAGCAATGACATCATTAAAAAACATGTTAGAACGACACACGATTGTATCACCAGCGGGTCCATTAGTTTTGTAGATGAGCATATTTGCTCTATTCACGCAAAGAAATATTATTTTTTGTAGTAGGGTAGCTAGCATATGTTTTTATTAAGCAATTAACTAATATTTTTGCGTATGGTCGGATCTTATTAGGAAAAATCCTATTTTATGTGGACCGATTGTGGCGGGCCTGACGATTGCACCTACCTCAGCCGAAACCATTACTCACCATATATTCCATTGAATTCTCTTTTTACTATACAGCGCCATGGAGCAACTTGTACAACTAACTAACCATTATGGCTATCAAATGATAAGCTCCAAATTTAACCCGATGCTGAAAACAGGATTCTTAATAACTAGAGTAGTTGTTTTGGCGCTTTTATTAAAACGATTTTTTCACTCTTTGATTAGCAGGTGTTAAGAATATCATTACCCCTCGTTTTGTTATTTATTCATCGAACGATACCAGTTTCAGTCTGAAATTTGCGTGTATATCACCCTTCTGCCAGTCAATAGGCATTATACCGTTTTCGTACGGTCAGAACTAACATGGGTATTATGCGCTTCACGGGCTACCTCTATATAGTAACAACATCCATCTACGATTGAACCTATGCCTATAATAAGAACGGACACTACATTTTTCATAAGCATGGCGTCCCACAAAACCGTCGCATATTTATAAACAGTGATCGAATCTCATTTAGAAAGTCAAAACATTTTCCCAGTCGCGCGTATGACTCACGAGAATCACCGCCAAATTAATACCAATCAGCAGTGATCAATCAGTTAAACTTTAACAATGAAACGATTCCGCTCGAAAGTCCCGCAACTGGGTACTAGATCTGATTAGACTGGTTCAGATTTGAAGGTGTTAGTATTCGTATACAAATGAAATGAAGTTATGAGTGAGGACCGACCGCCAGCGTATTCGACCAAACTGATTGGCAGGGTATGCAGTTATCATCAGAAATATTTACATCTTTTGCTGGCCAAGTGACTATAGCAAACGCTGTATTGATTACATAACACCTGTACGGTTTATGGTGGACACACGTGACACAGCTTTATTTTTTGGTTTATTCTTCCGGTAGATAAATGTGTCTGTCGGAGGAGATGAATTACACAGGGGTTTTGAATGTTAACAATCTAGTAGCACCTGCATGACGAGCATACATCAAACAAATCACCCTACGTTCCGTATACGATTTGAGTGAAGATCTTAAGACCGGGAAGAAACTCGGGAAAACATATTAATTAAACGTTTAAGTCTTTGAAAACGCCCATGGAAAACGTTATTATAGTTTTTTTATGTGAACGATGTTCTTATGAAATCATCAGTGGCACAAACGAGTGATTCGTAGCCCATCTGTTGCTTAACGCTGTATTTACTGACGCTTGTGAACCTATTCCAGTTGAACCTCAAATGAATTTAGGAATGCGTTAAACGGTTAAAAAAATGAGACAATTAAGCATAGATTTTTCATTGGCGATGTGGTGACGCTTCAATACGTGGAATTAAACAAAATATTTAGAATGAAACCGTCCATTTCAGATTCAGTACTATCCTAGTGCCCAGAGGGTGTTTGGAGTTGTTACATTTCGAACATGCTAAAGATTCTTCCGCAGTGAATTTTAAACGCAGTTAAGGGTATGCGACATAATTCTTCAAAGACGCTACAAAATAGATTTTAAAAAAGTACAAACGTTCGTTGAACTTCTCTGATGGACTAAGTGCATGCCATCTCAGTAAGGATTGATCAGATCAATACACGTACATTTTTAAAAGTGACTTACAGAAAAACGACTGCTCAGTTAAAACTGGACCGAGATCTTCCGGAACTTCGTTTTGTATCATACTCTAGAATACTGGCGTAGTTTTTTTAGGCACACCTCGTATTTTTATATTGTATTGTACCAAATTTGTTTAAAAATGAAGCTTATTTCTGAAGTGACGGTCTTATCAGGCTGAATAGTGCTTTTAGAGATTAAAAAAATACTTCGGAAGTATATGAATCTTGTCGTTCGTTTCGTTGGTACAATTCTTAATAAAGGTTATATATATATATATATATATATATATATATATATATATATATATATATATATATATATGTACCATGTAAAGGTATAATAAAATCGGGGTGATTAGTTAAAAGTCATGTTTGCCTAAAATTTGGCAAAGCTAAAACGAATATACGGTACCCCGATATTTATTGTGTATTTGTTTAGCCGGTAGAAGGTAACTGGGGTTGGTGTTGGGCTAAAACTCCTGGATTTTTCTTATTGTAATAAGCTCTTTTTTCTTTCCTTTTCTTTACTCCCGACGCTTATGATGGTTACTTGTGCTGCTTACATGGCCAAGCAAACTATGGCGCCTGTGCTAACTACACTATATTCTTTAGCATCTAGCAACGTCTTTAAGGTTCGACGAAGGCTGGCAGTTTTAATGGTGCTGAAAGCGATGGAGGAGGAAAAAGGGGTCGTCTTGTTATCCTCCGCGTCCAATGGTTATGACCTGTGACTGCTAAAGTTAAAGCATTTGCTGTAGCGGGTGGAAGCCGTGGCAGCATTGGGTGCCTATCGTCTTAGCCCTACCGGACAGTAACAATTGTAACAACGGCACAGCACATTGTGCTGTTGTATTTGTATCTGTGAATTATTTGCCAGCTGTGGTGACGATAGTGTGCTGCCTATCCGACATCTTCGTTGATTCGCTCCGTTGATTTTGGCTCATCTAGCTCTCCCTGCCCAGTCCCGTTGCGTTTTCCCAGTTCCTTTGCTGCTGCGTTGACCGGCAGCAACAGCGGCGCTTCACGTATGCCATCAGCTGGTTCGCGTTCGTAGTAAAGCTGCTTGCAAGGGAGTCGACTAGCAAGTTGTTCTAATGTTGCTACTTCGTTTTCTTTCCACTTTTCTAGACACATCACTATCATTATGTTAACTTGTCTGCTTTTATGTATGACAAAGTTGTTGTTATCTTACGAGGTATAGCTGAACAGCTAAGGGGTCGAGCTAGGTGAGGTTCCTTGTTTGGAAATAGTACTATCGCGCCGCAGGCGCGCCGTGTGCTCCATCTGCTTTGCAGGCTTGTTATGTTTCATTGTGAGAGGCTATTCATCGGAGACGACCTCTGCGGATGAACGTCCTTCTGCCGGCAGACAGAGCAAATAACAGGCCTATAGTGAGATAGACATAGAGAAGCTGATTAAAATGTTATTCATCGCGCATGACGACGAGGTAGAACCGACGTCAGCAGCAGTAGCGACAACAACAACAACCGGAAAGACTCGAATGCTACAAAGCATTACGAAGCCGACAGTTACTTCACTACTACACTTGTATTGCAATATTTGCTTTGTTATCACACTTCGTTATTGCGATAGCGATGGATATGTTATGACTTCTAGTCGTAGAAATATGTACTTATGGCAAATATAGCAGTTGCGGGACCTGAACAGATCGAGTTTACTCGGGTATTGATATGGAAGCCTTTAACTATTCTTTTCAGAGAACGAATATCAGAAGCCTATATTGGCTTGAGCTACAATGAATGGTACAGCGGTCGGCTCCGCCTCGAATTTTGGCGCGCTTTTCGGATGAAATGTACCCAATGATAATTATGTTACCTCAGCTACTGAAATAAAAGAGGGCACAATTAATAACGTACATAGCAGCAGGTTTTTATTAGTAAATCTGTTTCTGTACTATAGTAGGATTTACTATTATCTGAATAAGAGGGAATTAGCACGTAATTAGCTGAGATGTAAAATTCAGATGAACGTATGAATTAAGTGGCCCTTAACAATTTAGGGTGATACCAGGCTGTCGGGTTCACGCTGAACCGCTTGTTCAAGTGAATCACGTTGCTCGGTTTACAATTTTATCAATAAACCGACGTGAAGTGAGAACGAAACAGCGACCAGGGTTCGCGTGAGAAACACAGCGCCGACCCTTTCCATACATGATTAACTTTTCTACCAAAATATATTGATTGTGTAGTAAAACAGTCCTATCTGTTTGAAAGATCCTAAAATACAACACTCATGAAAATACTCCCTGGCCTTAATGTTAAGCACAAAGGAAAACTAGTTTTGGCTGAGATGCCTCTGTTCTGGCCTAGTGCAAATGGCCCCTCCAGTATGCAGTTCGAACTATTACTTATTACTTTTTTGCAAATAACCTAAAAGGGTACTTATCTTCAGAGTGTTTTCCGTAGTTTGCGCCATACATTACTGCAAAAATTCGGAAAATATCAGGCGTTCCACTTCGCTTTAAAAAGAAGACGAAGCGAGACAATTTGATCTTCTGGTGCAGATCAAAATGTTGTTTATTACAGATAACTCAATGCGTTCCGGTAAGTTGTACTTGGATATCAGACCTCGGCTTGCCGGTTAAAAATTTACAGTCTACTGATGACAAATACCGACCCTAAGTGTGACAGGTAAGTAAGCCAACGTTTGTGACAGGAATAGATCTCGTTCGGCGCAACATACATCTCAGCAATATGGTGGAACAAATGAACGCCTTCTTTTGCGCCTTCAAGACGATTTCAGATAAACTTGTGATTCCCGACTTTTGGCTATACCCGACCGTCAAATGTCCATGAGTCTAAGCAACACCGACACACTGCTAAGGCGAACTATAGTAGGAAGATATCAATCAGTACTTTTACTGGGTCAATGAACACTTCCACCCACTTATTCACTGTCTAGTCGATACACAAGCGTTTCATCTTTTGTCATTTGGAGCCCATATCATGGTACCGGTGGCAGTCCTGTTTCTTGCTGAATTCGACAAAAGATTGAGGAGGACGAGGATTATGTTGGATACAAGGAATAAGTCAAACTCGAACGAGGAACCTGTTAGCTAAACAAATGGTTCTAGCACATCATTAATTGTTCAGTGGTCGAATTGTTTACATTTGAGTAGAGCGCGCTTGTCGAGCAATATTGCAAGACGCGGGCGCAACCTGATGGAGACGTCGCTGAAAAGAAAATCTGCTGTGCATCAAAATACTTCACACTCTTACGCAGAAAACGAGTACACTGTTGTAGTTGAGTTTTTTCTTTTGCTTACCTTGAAAGAAAACATGGCTTTGTGGCAGTTACCAACATGTGACCGACATTTAAATGTCAGAAAAGCAAATTTTTGTCGAAAGCCAAATTTTGGTAAAAAAAAATATTCATGAAAAAGAGTAATATTGATTGAGAACGGTGAGCTAATGCAGATGAATGATCAGGAACTTAAAATGAGCTACTGTCCGGAGTGATATAGCCCGTTGAGGTCTGAAGAGTAGAACAAACAAACCTATAGTTACAATACAAAGTATTGGATAGCTTCTCTCAGCTGAGTTATCTATCAATGTCCACATACAAATTGCTGTGGTAATGCATAACTTTATAGAATGCCTAACGTGTTTTCCTTTAAAGCTACACGAGTCTCAGAAATTGGGTAAACATAAAGCAACTGAAGTTAACAGATGTGCGAAAATTGCAACAAACGAAATATCAACAACAGATGAGCTATTTTCCCCGTACTTTGTAGTGTGTACACGCATTCAGTATATCTATAATCAGTATGTAATAGAAATGTTGATTTCTGCTCACCCACATAGCAAATGCCTCCTTTCAATCAACCCTTCTTCGTAAGTGTGTTTTCCTTTTTAATGCCTCTGATATTTAGAAATCCTTTTTAGAACAGCCAAACTAAATAAGACAAGGCGTACATTCAAAGGCCCATAGCTAGTCTTCGGCCTGAAGTGCTTGTGGCGTTGGAATCGCTTTGGGCATTACTATAGAAGCATTCATGCATTGTTGTCAGTTAGTGATTTTTACTGTAGTTGTGTTAACCGTATTTCGGTCTCAAATATATTTGAAAACGGTTGCATAGCTGCATATCTTTGTAGCTGAATAGCACAAAAAAATATTTTTAAATTATTGAGCTTTCATTAGCTAATAATATTTCGTGATCGTAGTCAACATAACTCTGAAGCTATTTCAACTCATAGAGTAGGTTTTTTTCTTTCAACTTTTGGATTTTGGATTAAACCTATTGAATTCAGCTCTCTTAACACATTTGAATAAAATAATACCGTAGTAGAGAAGCTCTAACAGCTCTCTGCAGATATGGATGTTGATCAAATGCTGGTATTGAATGACGAATATATGTTCTTGTTGTCAGCGCTTTTTTTCAAAGTGCACAATGTAATATTTTCCCGGTAAGTTGTTTTCGTGTGCTCAGTGAACGGCAGCTCGAGCACAGTTCGCTGAAATTTATACATGGGATCAAAAATGTGGGGTAGATAAAGTAGTAAGTAGGCAAAAGGCGCCCTCTGTCTTCTTGCCAATGCATCGAATCCTGTTCGATGCGTTACAACAATCATTAATTTTAATGAAATCTTCTTGTTGTTGACCTTCAGCCAATGCCGGGCAACTGTGTATGAATGTGGCCCTGTTTTGTTCAGCGTTCGTTGTTTTACCTATCAAACTGGTGTGTAGTCGACGGTGGCCACTATATGTTTTGAGTTTACATTCAATACTGGCGTTAAGCGCTGCTTCAGACGGCGAGAGATAGCGTGCGTACGTCCAATCCCCAGTCTAGAGCGCGTGCGCCAATATGCAGTAAACAAACGTTTTCATGGTAGCTGCGGTTTTTCGATCGTATAGCCCTGTGAAACGGGCTAAACAACCGCACCCAAAAATTGAGTATGTGAGTAGATGGGCTATGGGCCTCAACTCAGGCATGTTATTACAAGGCATAGTAATCTGACGCATTAAGCACGATTTAATCGATTACTTGCGTTAAATTAATATGTGGATCAGAAGCGATTGCCTAGTAAAGAAGAAATGCTGTTTCTAGATAGGTAAGAATCATTTTATCTAGTTGATGTCATCTTACAAGCCAACGAATTGTGCAGTAATGGTGGCAGCCTTAGGTACTTTTTGAATGGTCTTTTACGACATGTATGGGACCGGCTGAAATATTAAACATGATGGACTCGTATCTCAGATTTAGGTAGTCACGCTTAAGTACTTTTTTTATAAAAGAAGGATTGTTTCAAGCTCCGCCTACGGCTTATATATATATATATATATATATATATATATATATATATATATTATTCAATTTGTAAAAGAGGCTTTGAGAATCCCCATGATTTAACGTGAGCGTTGGCGCCGGCATGAATGCGAAAAGACGTGTGAGGTTTGTGTTTTAGCATTTGTCAGATATTTGTGCCTGTTGAAATTCATACTAACAAAATTTAGCTGTATTACTATATAGTTAGCGTTAGTCACTGTAGCGTATTTCCAAACGTATTCGTAACCTTTTCTTTTTCAATTTCAGACGGCACTGGGGGCCTTGAGCGTCGTTGTAGACCTCCCACCCCCCCCCAGGTGGTGACAGCTGCCGAACGCCTCACTCCACTGCGTCCCGCCCCTGGTATCGTTGAGGTTGCACAACTGCCATTAGCATAATCAAGTGCAGAGTGCAACCTAGCGTCAACGACGAAGCTTTTGATTGCTACTTTTCCAACCAGCGGAGCCGTGGCCTGTGATAACTTTTCCGACTTTATTTTCTCAGCGGAGAATATAAGTTGAATGCACCAAGACGAGTCTGTCGAGAATAGCTATAGTGGTAACTTTTTCCGTTCCTAAAACAATTAGGGATAAATAAGCTAGCCAAAGCGAGCCAAGATGGGTAACTGTTTATCACGTCAAGGCGGCAGCAAGAAGGGCAGCTCTGCCCACGATGGTCATAATGGCGCCATGGGTGCACAGCTAAACAATCAGCAACTGCAACAGACCCCAAATCACCATGCGCAGATGCACCATGGTAGCGGAAGGATGCCGAACATGGCGAGTATGCATGCTGGCACGCCAGGAGGACAAAATAAAGACCACCAACAACAACAACACGAGACGGGTGCGACTTCACACAGCAATAACGGTACGCCGAACCGTGGCGCAGGTGTCGCTGGCAGCGGAAGCGGATCAGGAGAACGATACTCGAAACCTCCGTCTTCCGGCGATGGACTGAAGGAGTCCCGTAGTTCAGGCAGCGCGTCAGCAAGTGGCGGACAACAGAAAGTAGTTGTTGCTTTATATTCATACGAGGCACGTGCGGATGGCGATCTCAGCTTTAGAAAGGTAAACGTGTGTGTAAAAGACGCATATGTTAGGTATTTACTAAGCACTTAACCCATAAGATTTAACTGATTTTTCTATGTAGAACTGGCAATATCCAACCGAAATGGTTCTCAATCAATAATATTTAGATTACTAAATCAGACTGATATTGATATGCCTCACTTTGACCAACTTCTTAATGTGTTTATTATAAAAATGTTAATTCATTTGTGATAGGGTGACAGGCTAATTATCCTCGATGATTCGGATGCCGACTGGTGGTGCGCACGACATAGCGTTGACAAACGACACGGCTTCATTCCACGTAACTTCGTAGCAGCTGAAAAGTCCGTTGAGAGTGAAGACTGGTTCCTCGGCAGAATCTCCCGGAAGGACGCGGAGAAGATGCTCATGATGGACTCCAACCCGCGAGGCACATTCCTTATCCGGCATCGGGAACAAACCCAGGCAGGGGGCTACTCTCTGTCCATTAAGGATTACGAAACCTCAAAGGGAGATCATGTGAAGCATTACAAGATAAAGACGCTCGACCAGGGAGGATTCTACGTAACAACCAAAATGACCTTCAGCTCGCTGCAGCAGCTTGTTTCCTACTATTCCGAGGGTAAGTGCGTGATCGAGTACGACTTACTACAAAATTATTCATGATGTATTTAAGTGCGTACCATCTACTGATTTCTTGCCGAGTTCTTTATAGTTCAGAAATGCACTTGATGGAATCCGTGACGTCTTGGCCGATTTCAGGAGCAAATGGACTTTGCCATCGGTTGACTTTGCCGTGCCCAAAGCCAAAACCGCACGTTTGGGATCTTTCTCCTGAGACCCGACATGATTGGGAGATTCCTCGGGACTCACTGCAGTTGATCCGCAAGCTTGGCAGCGGCAATTTCGGCGAGGTGTGGTATGGACTGTGGAAAAATGCCAAGGAAGTGGCAGTAAAAACACTTAAACCAGGCACGATGGATCCTGCCGCCTTTTTGCAGGAGGCAGCCATTATGAAGAAGTTTCGACATGAGAAACTTGTATCTCTATATGCCGTATGCTCAAAGGAAGAGCCGATCTATATCATCACAGAGTACATGTGCAATGGGTCTCTATTGGAGTTCCTGCGTAAGCAAGATGAAGCTAGCAAAGGTACCAAAGTCAAACTGCCAGTACTGATAGACATGGCTGCGCAAATCGCCTCAGGCATGCAATACCTTGAAAGCAAACAGCTCATTCACAGAGATCTTGCAGCGAGAAACATCCTCGTGGGCGAGAATAATATTGTTAAGGTAAGTTTCCTGAGGCATTGCGATTATTACGCCCACTGGTCTGTGTTACTAACCCATCTTCGGTCCTTCAAGTATGATTTGAAATTATCACAGTATTATTTTAACCCACAGTTCGCATAAAGGCCAAATAAGTGTTTTGTATCTTACGTCCGGTACTGATTTAGTAAATGATTGCTTCAAACGGCTGATCCTCAGCGCAAAACGAAGTGTACCAAGACCGGATTTGAGCCTAGATCGCAATGTGTTCCTAACTAACTTCACAAGGCAAACACGTCAGCATTTGTAAGGAAGCTAGCCCCGCTCGTTATATTTTTCCCTTTAGATTCAGTGTTTCTTTGACATGGTTTTAGTTTAAGTGTAGTCAGATGCTACACATGGACTGATCGCGCGTTGTTTGACATCAATTTACTACACTTAAAATATGGGGGACTTGTATGATATTTTCTAAAAGCAAAGGGACGCGGTTTCTAAAAGCTATGTTTGCTCTTATGATTTTCAAAGCACTCAGATCTATGCAGTATAATTTGTGCTACGGTCAAATTGTAATCAATTGTCTTATATGTCTACTTTTTCTTCCGCGACTAATCCGTGTAGGTGGCTGATTTCGGTCTCGCTCGCATCATCGAAGATAGCGAATATACGGCACGTCAAGGTGCCAAATTCCCGATTAAATGGACTGCCCCCGAGGCTGCTCTCTACGGAAAGTTCTCTATCAAATCCGACGTATGGTCGTACGGCATTTTGCTATATGAGCTCATAACATTCGGCCAAATACCGTATCCTGGTAAGTGGGCGTCTTTATTGTATTCCTTTTATCAATGTTATACTGTTATTGATCATTTAACATGACCTAAATAAATTTTTATTATTATCTATTTTTGATAAATATGAGTTCTTAATTTTTCTATCTTGAACTAATTTTTTAGCATACCTTGGCAAACTAGGATATGTATAATGGCGATATATATATCTAACAAGCCTATTTATGCTTATGTTCTTTTTTTACTTATTATTTTTACATGCACGTGCGAATGGTACAAAACAATTCTCTCAAAGACAATTATATTATGCTGCTTGTAATTTATGTAATTTGCTCACGTCACCCTCTGTCATCACATCCATTGCAGGAATGCCAAACCGTCAGGTGATTGAGTACATCGAACAGGGCAACCGCATGCCAAAACCACAGGGCGTCGAGTGTCCCGATTCCGTTTTTCAGTGTATGATGCATTGTTGGGACGCAGAGCCCGAGAAACGGCCAACTTTCGAATATTTGTTTAACTTCTTTGACGACTATTTTGTGTCGACTGAGCCCAGTTACCGAGACGCAGAAGAGTTCTAACCTGAGGCTGCCGGACGTGCCGGCTGCGATCAACCTAGGCCCTTGGCACCGCCCTCTCTGTCTGGGCTCAAACCCATAATGTCCCATTCCGTGACACGGTCCTCGCTGCACTCAGCTATCACCCCGTCGGTTGGGAACGCTCCACTTCTGCAAAATAACGATTCGGCGTGCATACATTCGACAGGTAAGGCCATACCGGCTGTGATCGCTGATAACAAAGAAGAGGAGGACTTTGGTCTAACATTCTATGGGATCTTCTGACTCTGCCCAAGAGGCACCGGCCATCAAAAAGTGTGTCTAAATGCAAAGCGTGATTCTTTCGACTTTTCTTTGTCATGGCTATTGGCCAAAAATGACTATATCAGCAATAATCGAATGATTAGTTCTTTCGTCGTTCGTGTACCGGGAAATGTCGATAAACTTGTGCGAAAGCATTCTCAAAAGCGATCCTTTATTTTGCCTTAGTCCTGTATCCTTCACCTATAGATAGATACGGCAATATTAATCATATTTGATATGTGAACTTACTAATTTAATAGGATGACGGTTGTTCTGGATTCGTTGTATCTCATATTTTGAAGATGATTTAATTTCAAATTATTTAGACCACTCAATAGCGCTAGGCGGTCGGCTCCCTGAAATCGACGAGTATGTGGCGCACATGATCTTGCTATGGTAGATCAGAAAATAAACAAAAACTAACTGACTCTCAAGCAAGATTAAGACGAACCCACGACGGACAACTGCTATTGTGTAACGAGGAACCAGAACTTGATTGTAACAGATGATTAGACTGGAGGGGGAGCGGGGGGGGGGATTTGGAAAGAGATCATTTACTTGTTAGAAGGGTTTCTGCTCAATGCTCGCTATGCTCAAACGACGGAACTTTTCTAGCGTGTGACATTTAGGAGTGTGCTATATTTACTATATATTTAACAACGGACTAGGGTTTGTCATGCGCGTGTCAAGCGTAGCCGAAAATGCCGCAGCAAGACGTCCGACTCATCCAAAGAATTCTCACAATAATAATTTTGCAGTTTTCCACTGGTCAGTGCCGTAGAAATGGCAATTACAGCCTGCACCGTTGAGCATCGCGTTGGCGAACTCGCACACATACAGCCTCTGAATTACCTTAAAATCGGTACTTTAAACTAAGACCAGTCAGTTTTAGCTTACAGTTTAACTGGAACCTGTTTGTGTGCGAGCGGCTCGCGGATCCATATAACATCACAATGTAGGACACAGCTTTGCAAGGCTCAGAAATCAGAGATTATGGTTTCTTTTAGATCGGCGCGTATATCACCCTAGATACGAAGCGTGTCGGCATCGGTAACTGCGGCTCAGTTTAAGGAAAAGGTATAACACTAAAAGTTCATCCAAAGCAACTAAACATATATCTAGAAGTGACGACTGAACGAAAAGGGCAATATTATCATAATCCATACAGCGCATGATGAGCAGCATTAGCAACAACAAAACACAAGATCAACTCGAAATAGAAGAACGGACGCCGTATTCTAGTGGCCTCCTATTCTTTTCGGTTGTTACTGAACTAACCACAATTTAGGCAGCGACACTGAAGAGGCAAATACGTGGCGCTATTGATACTCGAAGGTCTAATGGGTGGTTACCAACGGACTAGCACTTGCCACAACTGGGGACTGGGTCTAGCGAAACACAATGATATTACAAAGGTGAACACGATAAAAGCGAGCACGCTATGCAAAAAGGAGGCCGGATTACAATGTGTTAGTGGGTGCTATATGATTATAAATAATTAACTCCTTTATTATTAGTACCACTTTTATGGTACTTGAGCCAACTTAAATTTCATCTCTGTAATGAGTGGTTCTAAACTAAGGTTATTTTGTTTTTTTTCGTATGGCATCACGTGATCAATTTGATGTGGGATAATTCAGGTGTATTTAATCTTTTAAAATTTCATAGTTATTCTGCTTGTGTGGGCTTTTGCGGCATGACAGCATATTCGCTTAAGTTCGGTAGAGTTCCGTCACTTTTTCGTTGGATACAGTAACTACTTGAAACTTGCTGCAGCGAACAAAGATCGTTGTCAATTTAGGAGTGAAGAATTTCCGAATATATGTTCCATACCGATGATTTCAATATGGCTCATGGTTGCGGCATTTACTCATGTTTGCGATGCAGAATGTATAGCTGCACTCTTTCTTGATATTATTAAATTCTCTGTTTTTTTTGCTTTTCAAGATGAGATAAGCTAAACAGCCGAGACTGCCACGTCGAGCTCGTGCAATATATATATATTCTATTTCTCCCTAATGCCTATATTATCCCAGCCGTAGAGACGAAAACGCCAGCCGAAATTATGATAACTAGCGCCATCCTTGGAATTCCATTTTTGCTCGTGCCAAACTCAGTTGCATTGAGTTTGATTATTGACCTTGATTTTTCCTAATACCTCTTAACTCCAACTAGATTTGCAGCAGGGCTAGCCAGGACTAGAGACGAGACTGGAGTTTTTTGAGTTGTATAGTTTCTTGAGAATCGCTAGCTGATAGTGAGTGCGGCTGAACAAAGTCTAGCTCACCCTGGTATTATAACAAGAACGAGAGATGCTGCCTAAGCATCCTATCTATGCATGTCTTTCGTCCTGCGCTTAAATCAATAACCTTTCTATTTTTTTTTTTTTTTTTTGAGCAACTAATGTTTTTAAGCTTGAAACAATGATACTGATAATGATCATCGTGTTTAAACTTGTTCGTGTTTTTTTTTTTAAATAGTGAACGCAAGACAAGATAGTGGTGTCAAATTGTAAAAGATTGTGCGCGGTAAACAGTCTCCAGCAAAAGGCACCGTGTTCGATGTACTCCGAGAGAAAAAATGTTGACTTTTTGGAATTAATAAACGTTCGAAACTAACGACTATAATAATGAACACTTCAGTAAAGAACTGTCTTATAATAAAGCATCTTGCCTATTAGGCAGTGCATGTATGGACGATCTTTCAGCCGAAAAGTATGACAAAGGAACTTTTGCAAAAAAATGATAGAACCAACCTCAGACCAGACAACGACGGAAAAGAGTGTAACGACAATACTAACTAAATCCTGTTGATTTTCGCGTATCAGTCGCGGGAATCTGCGGCAAATCTACGCCAGAGAGCGGTGGTCTAGTAGTAATGATCCATACACGGAGAAAGCTGTCCAGCTTTGTACATTTGTGGACGGCGTGTATATAAAAGTACAATGGAATAGTATCATTATTAAAGAGCAAAGGCCAATACGATGGAGTAATGATGCGATATATTTACTGATGATGATGATGATTATTGCTGCTACCGTAGTAAACTTCAAATTCCAGAGGAGAAAATTTCAGCTAAGTAAAAAAAAATACATATACATACAGGTCACGAAACAAACATGGCTGGCCAAGGTAACTACTGTAGTGACAAATTTACACAAATGAGAAACGGTACTGTTCGATTTTTTGCCAAAAATAACTCAACAAACACGTTTGAGAATTAATATAATTTAGATTAATAGGCAAAATGTTGATTCGAAATGTTATCTAATGGCGGACTTACAAGTCGCACGGGACTATGCACTATGTCTAGCACTGACTGTAAAAGGCATATACGGTTTTGCATACGACCTAAATTCATCTTCATACAAATCAGTCAGAGGAAGAGCGTCCAGGGAAAGTGTGTGTGAATTCAATCATATCAAAACCATAACGACGAACGTTTTTATGATACCGGAACATTATGTATAAGACGATTACGTTCCATAACCAGATACCAGTACGAAGAGCTGTCGGTACCAACATCGTGATTTACAGAGGGAGGGGGCAGCTAAAGTGGGTAATAATTTCAGTGCCCTATTTACGTACAGATCATTTTTTTGATGGCCCGATTAGTGCTACCACGAATGACTGATCAAGAGAAAGAAAGAGACCGAGAGAAAGAAATGAAGAAAAAAAGAAAGAGAGAATCTGAAAAATGGTCAACACACCGATCACAGGCATGATTTGTTTAGAATGATAACTTAGATCCAAACGAATAAAATTATAGGATATACAGAATTTAGTATTATTATTATTATTATCATCATTGTAATAACAAGTGAAGAAAATCGTGAGACGAACAACCAGAACAGGTGAGCGACATGCAAGATATCATAATGAAAATAAATTATCTTAATAAAAATCATATGATTCATGCTAAGATAATTATTCAACAAAAATGCTTCATTAAGTCGAAAGATATGTATATCTATACGATAATTAAACATGATAGATGAGGAAGAGATATAGAGAAGAAATACAAAACATGTTTGAGACGTTAATAAAATAAGAATCATAAACGAACATATATAAGGTAAATAGATAGCAAAGCTATAATGTTCATAACAGCGATAGGTAGGACATTTTCCTTCCTGAATGAAAAACAGAACTCACACGGATGTACTAGCAAATAAGAATATCACCACGTATTACAGTAGATATCCGCAAACATCATGATCTTTTTTTTCTATAAAAAAAAACTCAGAATAAAGATTTTTAAAGCGATCGAGAGGTTTCAGCTTCGAAACTTATTAAATAGCAAAAATAGTCTAATCAGACTGCGTAGGATGAGTATAGGGTTGCATGCACAACAAAATTTCATTGAAAGGATGGTACATAGCATAGGGAGTTTCCAGAAATGTGATAACAGTGATACATGCACTCGTGTTTTGCGAAGAGTTTCAAGGTCCAGCGTACTATCGGAGTACGGCTGTCGAGGATAGTGAAAAAAAATGCCCAATAATCTTTGAAACGATCGATAAAGCTAGAAAACTATAACGAACACAAAATTTAGTGCTACACTTGACTCTAATTTTGAGTAAACAGTGACAGAGAAAATGAGTTCACTTTTATATATATATATATATATATATACACACATATATATACTTTGTATATATATTTTATTATTAGAATTAAATAAATTGATGATATGACTAAGCGTATGCAAACAATGAGCTTTGTTATTATTTTCTCGTAATTGTGTTATTAGAGCAATGCCGTATAGCAGTTTTTCAGTGAGATTACTTCGTTGATTTGAATTAGTATCTATACACATACATAAGCAATATTCAATTTTTGATTCCTTTTGAAATGCGGCCTGCTTGCAGATTACGTTGATCAGTTTTGCAGTTCTTCATCGTACTCGCGTCAGATCATTTCATAATACTTCAAATAAATAAAGACGACTTCAAATAAATCGACTACGATCACACAGAAGAAGCAGCAGCTAGATATGTATATGGATATATGATGCGAAGGTTAAAACAGAAACTACTATAACGTTTATCATATCATAGTACCTTCGATAAGCAGTTCTATAGGTTAGATTTTTTTTTTTGTTAATTGCTAAATCTAACTCTATTGTTATGCGTCCTTTGTTCAACTGTATCCGTGCTTGACTCTATACCAACTGGCACTCAATATATTGAACCTCATGGCTTTTTTTTATGGCAAGTTTTTCATCAATTTTGGTCTGCATGGAACCGGGATGTACAGATTGAAGCATCCAGTTTCAGACGAGTAAATCATGCGGCAAGGTAGAACAAGTGGAAACATTTTATTTTAGCATGCAATGGAATGTAGTGTATGCTATAGCTGTAAAAGTTTAATTTAAGCATATAACGAAGTCATTGCGGCCAGGAAAGGAAGATTGAAAGAACCCATACGTAAAAAAAAACTCAGAATTTTTAGAAACTTGTTTCGGCAATACGTAGCGTTCCATGGCGAAGAACCTTGAACAAAAGTTAAACGACAGGATGACAACTCAACTCCCTTGTTATATAGCTGTGCCAGTTATCAAAAACGAACGAATAAGGTAGCCAAATATCTAACCACCGCGACAGATGGCTGATCATCATTATTATTTGCTTCCAAGTTCTGATGATTTGTTGACAAATTGATTGGGGCAGAGATGCCGATACTTCTTGTAGAAGGATCTAGTGTAAGTGTATCCACAGTCAGAATTGAACAAGAGACAAACGAAAGGTTTACTTAGGTGTAAACAGTTACTCTTTGGCGTGAAGATAGAGCCCGCCCAATTTCGAAAAATAATGGACACAGTTGTATCAGAAATGGAACGTATTTTAGCCTCGTTTTCTGAAAAGAAGAATAGACGAACATAGCTAGCGCGAATAAGTAAACTACATCGCGATTCGTCTCGATGCTTTGAAGACTCGTTTCAGTAAGTGCTTTTTTCTGCATACCAAGATGAGGCAGATAGATATAGAGGTTATATATATAGAGGGTATATATATATATATATATATATATATATATATATAGAGGTTATATATAGAGAGATATATAGAGGATAAAGATTTTTGATTTACTATGGATAGATTAGTAAACAAGATAGACACCCAGCCAAACAAAAATTGATAGCATAATTCAAATACTGGCATCTATGAATGTTACACATTGTTCGGAGCTTACTTAGAACGCTAAATTATTGTATAGCTTATCTATCCGCAACAGTTGAATTCCGAGGCCCATCGGATTAACTCACGGAAAAGGATGACATAGATTTTTTTATGGATATGGTCATTACGGTTAGGGCCAGTCAAAAGTCATCACTGACGAAATAAGCTAGTACGGTATCGTTTCGTACTAGTAGTCAGGTAATACGGAAAAAGCTATTAAACATACAAGTTGTACTTTAATTCCTGCTACGTGGACGATTACCAGATTGAGGAACTCCATCAACCGATTTTACTTGACATTCCTGGCTGATATATAAGCCTCCACTGTGTATTTTTGGAAGTAAAAAAAAACATTTAAATGTTTAGAAAAGATATATTACAGCACCGGGCGCCTCTGTTACCTATGATTATGATTTCACTACAAAACAAGCCGCTGAGTTTTTGTTATCTCTCGTTCATACATCAAGTCGGACAGATCACGATTATAAAATCAAAGAAATATTGCATGCATAGATGGGGATCTATAATTTTTTTCTTAGTGATTAGCAATTTGCCATTTACAAATGCGAAAATTCAATACTAAGTGCCTACGATCGGCACTCAGAATGATTAGAATCGGCAGACGTACTAAAAAACAGAGGGGTGAACTGTGTTAACTTCACGTATGACGCGACTCACTCTGAACGAGGAATATATGTCTATTGATGAATAAGAGAATCGTCATTTTTACAAGATTGCGCCAAGGATCCTTAAGACAATTTATCAAGCTTACCCTGGCCCTGTGCGGATAAAAAGGATTACAATATTACACGGATACTGGCCGTATAACGATGAAGACGTTCAATATCCTATCTGTGACTGCCAAACGCGAAGAAAAATCATGTTAATCTACGTTTGCAGTCTTGGCCTACGCCAAATACTCTCTCGATTCCGCTATCTGCAGACAGGTGAACCAAGCTACTTTAAATTAAGATATTCCTAATTCTGATGAATTCTTATAACGCATGGCCAAAAGTATGTATGATGAATGCTACGACGCCCACACTAAACTAGAAAAGCGTTCGACTCATTCATCAATATATTCAAGATATTCATCAAAATAAATGTCTTATAAAGTAGAAATATAGTATCTCAGGTAGCCGTGGAAGTATACTACTCGTAAGATATTTTCTAATATTATTCAGTTGAAACACATGAAGAAATCCTTTCACACACATGAAGTCATTGCAAAAACCCGGCATTTCTTTATATATATATATATATATATATATATATATATATATATAAACATTTCTTCCATTTAAGGACTAAGTGATCCCCTATATTGAGTCTTGTGATGTCTTTTTCTCGACAGCAGAAGCTTAGGAAAAACTATCAAACCCGACACTGTAATCAGATTGTAGTCCATAGGTGAGATCGTGATCCATAGTTGCATATATATATATATATATATATATGTATAATAAGTTGAAGGAGGTGTTATACACATCAAATAAAGATGCGTCTGTATTTTAATATTTTCTGTTAAAATTGAAATTATTAATATGACGAAATAAGGAATAATAAAGGACAACGTAATCCTACAAGTAACGATAGGTTTACACTTAAGACAAAATGAATTTACGGCTGAAGAAGAGGTGAGAAAAGATCTATAAAAAAAAATCTATACAACATGGCCTAAATCAAAATATATAATGCATTATTTTTTAACAAATCACTCATAATACATGCAATGTACGATTTGACATTGTTTGAAGTTAGAACACTTGCTCATAATAAAATTTGGCAATTTATTGAAATTGCACTTCATTCAATATAGACAGACCGATCAGACATGGTCACTATTTATAACAACTTGAAGTTAGGTCCTCTGTAGCAACTTCGAGTATTTATAACATAAACAATTCAAGTCACCGATTTGATACTATAATATAAGACGTCCTACTGCTACTCTGCATATTGAATTGTCGTTGTCGTAAGGATGCAAAGTAAAAAGGTAAAGCTTTTACTTAAGGGCTTTTTAATAATTATAGGGAGTCAGAGATCAGGAGTCTCTACGTTTGGGCGCGACTTCCAAGAAGCAGTGATTCAGTAATGAAAATCTATTTCGGAGAAAATTTAGCCAAGGTTTAAAATGAGGTAGAAATTAAGTACACGCTATACCTAACAGGAAACAATACCGACAGATGCGAGATAAGAGCGAACTATGTCAGTTCGCAATATGGAAAAGCCCAGTACGTAAAAAAATGGTGTTTCGGTAAGGGGGTATCATATTAGGGGCAAGTAACAGCTAGCTCGGAACCCCTCGGTATATATAGGCAGATCTAGATATATGTTCGAGTAAGAAGTTCTGCTTATAGCCATCATGTCAACAGGTTCGAGGTTGACAGCATTAGGTAAAGTTCTGCTGGTAAATTGATGTATTTTCTTTGTGAATGTTCAATTTCTATTAGTGGATCAGAGTCGTAGTTTTTCTCATTTGTTGCTTGATGACGTCTTGTACGACTTGCTGTACACGCATTTTTACCTATCTTTACCTACCTTTACAAGCTTTACCTATCTTGTATTTAAAAGATAAAAACAACCTTATATCTTTAGGTAATTGTCTGTATATTAGCATAGAAAGCTCATCACTTATGTAGTTGCTCTCCTACGCCATAAGTTAAATGATACGTTTCGAAACGCTTTGGTAAGCCTTATTTATTTATGTAAGCCAGCCGATGTTTTCGAGATACTGCTGCACTGTCTTTCAGATATTATCACCAGTCGATAGCAGCAGAATGTCCTCTACCAATCGGATCGGTTAGCTTACATGTCGTATCCTGATTTTCGAGCCTGTGCACCCCCGCATCTAGAAGTATACCCTCACCACTTAACTGTATCACTCAGTTGTTACACGTTCGTGCAGAACAACGTTCGGTCTTGATATCGTGTATGTGATAATATCGCCTTTTTTAGTACGACAGTGATGATACTACGCGTCTTTAGCTCCAACAGGTTCATTTGGGTACTGTATAATAATCAACTAACATTGTTGATTGCTCAGCTAAACATCGTGCAGTACGTTATATTCCCACGTACAAGTGAGCAATGCTAGATTTACTTTCGTAAGTTTCGTGGTGAGTCAGTGCACCTTGGAGGTTCTCCAACGAGCCGAACACTTGGATTACAGGCTCCCAAGGGATCGACTCCACCCGGGACAGTTAGGCCTATCCATGTCGATCTTTGTGACAGGCCAGCGATGCGTGCGTGGGATGTGGGCACCAAAGCGCCACTTATCAACCCGCCAAGCTCCAAACTGACGACCGTCACAACGGTCAAACTGGATCGCAGTCCCAAACTGTAATTCATCTGTAGCATGCACTGCAGGAAAGTTCAACGCAACGATACGGGCCGAGTCGTATTCGTGCCCTGATAAGCAGGGTATGCAGGAAGCTGTATACGTTGACTCTATGAGATGGTTTAGAAGCAAGTTCGGCAGAGTACCTATTGGTGAAAAAGGACATTGCGAAGAATTATTTTATAGACATGCTGTGCCGAATGACCCTGTTGAGGTATACATATATATATAAAGTCATCTGTTAAGCTAAAATTATAAAATAAAATGAGTGACTGGTAATAGTTTTCTTTGTCTTCTCCTAGCAAATAATTCGAGCAAATAATTGCTACATGCAGTCAGCATTTATTGGTCATAATCACAGATATCATGTTAACCCATTTCGATATTTGCCACACATACTCAAACCCTTGGAGCCACCAAACATCGGTCGCCGTATTCATAAATCGGCGTGGGGACTGACTACCCTCTCCAGATCGTTGGGAAAGGACAAAACTCACCTGTCGAACTCATGGACTTGAAGTTGCGAGGTCAATGTGCACAACTCGTACTTCGTTCATTCGTTCGACTGTCATCAGCTGATACCGCCTTGCCGAAGTGTTGCTTTCGAAGAGGTAAGTGACGACCGAAAAACAATCGACACAGAAGCTTTGATTCAAGTGTATCTCAGTAGTGCAAGGCGTTCTAACGTTAGCGGCACAAATACGGCCAAAGGGAGCGGACTCTATTTCGTCGAATAATCACGTTCTCCAAAAGAGAAGGAAATTTAGCTTACGGCAATACTGTGATGGCATAGGCACGTGACGATGGTTAGTGATAGCTGGTCCCTTGAATGATTAGCTACAAATATTCATGAAGTTCTTAGTGTTCATGGTAATAGATACAACTGACCTTAGGCTGTTGATGAAAAAACAACCAACTAACTTGTTAACCTAGTTGCCTTGGTTAAAAGTTAAAATTATATTAACGAATTATGTGGCGGGGCAAAACTTTAATCTCCAAAGTATTAGAAACATTGAATGGGCAATGTTAAGTGCTGGTATACGTCTACACATCGCAAACATGTATATTTGCTTTGTTGCATGATTTACGTATTGTCAATAGGAAGCCAGTTTATGTTTATTATCACTTATTATAGTACTACCGAACCACATCGTAAACGGTTTTAAAACGCGAGATACAATACAGTGTACAATGTCACATACTGAGATGAATCATTCAAATGTGAGATGCGGTAATATTCTCTAGCAAATCATCAAAAATTGTTATCCATTGCTATTGATCAAAAACATATTTTTTCAACGGGCCAAAAAAAGTAGCTTGCTGAAATGATTTAACTTTATATGTTTAATCACACCATGGATGCCCGTTACACGCGATTTTATTATCGTCTGCGTCATCGTCGACGTTAATAAACTGCGGTTTTTGACAGCAGAATCCTTTTAAAATCGACAGTAATAATAACAAATAAATAATAGCCTAGAAAGTGCATTTCCTCCAGCAACTATAAACAGAGATCAAGGGTGGTAAATGTAGCTAAGCATGTTAAATTATTTATTTACTTTAGCCTTCAAGGTAATAAAGCCCTAAGGAGACGGAGATGAATCTGTCCATACATTTGTGGGTTGGAATCACCTTGAAAACAGTAAAATAGGTTAAGTTTTTTTGGCGAACAGGTTTGACCTGACAAAACATTTGCATTGCCAAAATTTTATGTATGAGAAAATTTCTTTCCATCGAACTAAACTAACAAGGACCTGCGACCTGCTGGAGGCGCGGTCCGTACCGTACAGGGAACGTCTGATTCCATTTGTTTCTATAATTCAGATAGATTTGTCGTGACTTGGCTAGCGAAAGGGCGTGTAGACGGTTGGTTAAATTGATTAGTTGCATTTATATAGGTTGTTAGCACACCAAATGCATGCAAACATTTGTAGACACCAATATACCCGAGCGTTACGATATGCCTCGAAGTTTAATTCTAAGATAAAAGTAAACTCACATATTTTCTCCACTTTTCAAATACTTTTTACACTGAACCTAGTAGAAACAGAACATATTTTAGCATCTGCCATAGATGCCAACAGTTGTTGGAATAGTCTGTATACCTAAACATTCTACTATATTATCCCGCAGATATGTGTATACAGGCGATAAAATTGGCCTGTTCCAGCACTACTACAAATACAAGATTGTATTATTTGTTTGACACACAGTTAAACCTCTTTCCGCGATTGGTAAGCTTCTCTTCCGCTAGATGGCGCCAGCTGGCTTTTGCTTGTCTTCAGCTTCCACGAAGGCCTGCCAACGTCAAATGGCGATCGTATACCTTTAGCAAAAGCAGAAGTGCCGTTGCCTAGTGCCTGTTAACTGCTGCCGCTGGCGCAAGCGTCTTATGGTGCGCTGAGCCGCCTGACATTACGGTGCTGACGTTACAGCTCTCGCCGTTGTTTAGCTCGTGCTACATGGATCGACAGGCAGCGATGAAGCAAAGCGAAGTGCTGAAGCCGTTTGATCAGTAATAGTTAAGGTGCGGATGGCGTTTTTCGAGGACGTGCCCGCTCTCAAGTAAATTTTGCACGACCTGCGAGACTGGATCAATAGTTTTATCTTCGGCACTAGGTGGATATCTAACGATTGGTGAATAGCGTGAATAGTGCAAAACAACACATACAGGATAACTGAACGGGCTTGACACCATATGAAGTCTGCTGCAACACAGTGATATGTTCATGGAGATAACGGCTGTGACTGCGTCTTTACGCAATCAGCGATAAGTGGATATTTTATTTAAGAAAGTTGTCTGTTAATAGAAGTCTGTAATTTACAGGTAAGCAATGTTGATGCTTCTCTTCTTGTTTGTTGAGATCGTTTTCGAAATGCTTTTTCCAAGCATGAGAAAATTTCTCGAGTTGGATATATAGCTAGGTCACTTTGTAGTCATACGGGTTGGCACAGCAAAACGACCCCATATATTATTATTTATAGCAAGGTGTCTGCTTTTATAGAGAAACTTTCCTATGACCGTATTCTACGCTTTCGTTAGAGGTGCTTTGTAGACCCCTGTACTTTTGACTCTGCAGCGTCGTGCAGCGGCTGTAGGAGAACGTAAACAAACTGCTCTAACAATATCTAGTGGACTATAAATACATACAATCCTATAACTAATATTCACTAAGCGAATTCGTCTAGAATAATAATCTGTGGGTGGCGGGCGTATAACGGTGAATGGAACAGAGGCTGTGTGAATCAAACGTTCCGTCGAATTATCTTCTGCTCCCATAATTGCACAGTCCAGTTATAATCTTCTATTTCATACTTGACAATTGAACGTTAAATGAGATCTATGCATGTATATATATCATTGAAGCAAATTGGAATCGCTATTTAAAAAGTTCGTTCACTCTTTCAACATAATGAAAGATTCTGTATTCCGTTTAACTTGACAGTATATTAATATGAAAGATCGCTTTCCCAGCTATCAGATTATGACGTACTTTTAAAAAATTGAGTGTTTTCGTAATAATCAAACTGATCGGAACTGAAATTGCAGATGGACCAGATAATGGCTAGAGATGATCGACGTTTGCTTGTCTGTCTAAAACGATTGGCCGAAACCTTTAATGGACAGATTAAATTTTGATGGTATAGCCTAGCAGAGTAGTACCATTAAGACTTCTTAAATGATTTAATATCACTTTAGCTTTGGAAGCACGATTTGTTTTTATTAGACATTTACTGATCTTCGCTCTCTTCTTTCCATATAACCAAATAGGAAATTCACGTATGACTTAATCAAGCCACTCTATATAGTTATTTTAATAGAGCCAAGAACCCGATACGAAACGAAGAACATACCCCCTTCTCAAAAAGTACACCCGCCCAGGCTTACACTGCCTTTCAGTTTTTCTATACGGACCTGATCACTACAGGCAGTCTTGTTGAGACGTTATGCATTACAATCCTAACAGCCGTTCCCTATAAATATATAAGATAATAGCGTAAGGACTAAAGCGTGGGTTCGGGGTTTTTATTTAACTGCGGTATATCTAAGCAACAGTGGCACGACGATTCCCGAAAATGATCATATACGATATAGAGACTTGGCTCACAAGCAAGAACAGTATGATCCGTTATTGTAGCTCATAGCGAAGTTTTGTACTGGTCTTTCGTGAAATGCTGGTTGCGTGTTCGCTAAACGATCGCTGCTACTCCAAAGACGTTTTTTCGCACGCTATAAAGAGTAAGCTGCCGTTGAAGGGTATTTTTTATGGATCAGTTTGTCTCGACGTGGACCGTACTGTCGCTTTCTTCGCAGGCGTTGTTGCGCGCCGCCATCTGTACCGAGTTGATACGATACTGTTATAGGTACCGAAAGTATGGTTGTGGTATGCATTTTCTGTTGTCATTGAAAAAATGTCATGGAACAAGACCTCGTTTTTCATGGGAAAGTCAGAATAACTGCAAAAAATTAGTTGAACACCGAAGTATATGGCGAAGATGGCAGCATTAACGATCTTCGTTGGATTAGCAGTAACAATACCAGCCGGGTATATTTAGCTGGTCTTTCACTAAATCGTTGTAATGGTAGATAGCTGAAATCAAGCCATTGCACACTGTGTGGTGCCCTTTTTCCAGTAAAAGTCTACGGCGGCTGTTCTACTGTAGCTCGCGTCGCAACTTATCGGAATAAAAGATTGTGAATCTACAGTTGTCCATCGGATTAGTTTGTTCACCATTTTGCCATAATTTTTTGTGTATCTGTATGTATATGCAGTTTATATCTTGCTCGTTTAATTTACCCTTCGAGATGTTTCGCGAAACCTATAGAGGGTATCTTCTGCTGGAGTGTCTCATTTGTGATTCACTTCGCTTGGGAGTTACTAGAGCCTCACTTATTGTATTAGTGAAGTAGATATGGGTTATTTATGACATTAGTTTCGATAAAAAAAAAGGTACTGTAGATCAGCTGGCCGGTTCAATGCGAACACAGCTTCAAGCATTTGTTTTGTGCACTTGCCTATATATGAATTAAGCTTGAAAATTCTAGAGGTTTAAGACAGTAGCAAGTTAAATGGGGAGAGAGGGCGAAGATCCTTCATTGTGCTCTAAATCATGAGGCCTGACTCTAAGCAATTGAGTTGGACAAATCATTGTTGTGTATTCTATATCTTTGATGAAAACGTTTCTAATGCAACGACCTAGTATTTGTTTATGTTATAAATTCTCACCTATTTAATAGTTCTTAAGTGAGTGGTTCATGAAAATGACAAACCTGATAGTTAATAGGATAGCCCCATAATGCCCATTGGAGAGATGTCGTGAGTGACTCCCACGCTATGACAGGCAGAACCATGATGGCTTGAACTACAGCCGTTAACAAAACCCTATGTAGGCTGGTTAATAGATGCAATAAAAACGATCCCGTTTAAAATAATTGAAATACAAGAATGCAGACCCCTAGATGCATACAATGAAGTATCCATTGTGGTTAGATAATATTGAGGTGATGTTACTTTGCGATGTGGCATCTGCTGACCATTAGATCTCCAATATCGTAGCGTCTAGCTAAACAACGATTAAAAGAAGGCTGTTTTAAAGGTAAACCTCAACATGCTGTAAGCTTGTGAAAACTGCCAAGATGTGTCGTGGCCTATAATATCTAAAAGATATCGCTAGAACGTTGTAACACTTGAAGAATACACGATCATGGTAATGATTTATTAGTAGTTCAAATAAACCAGTGATTCTTTTGTTGAGTCAGGTTAGAATCGACACAAAGCGCGTGTCCATATTCAACGTCTGGACGCATTTAGACTTGTTTTTGTTCCATATTTTTTCTACCGATGAGATGGAGTAATAGAAGCGAGAGAACTTTGTTTGCTACAGAAAGCACTTGTAAACAACTTGTGATGCACAAGCATGTCCATGTATGAATTTTGTTATTAGACGCTAAGATTGGCTACACATGTTTAGATACCGAAGATTTTCGTAGTCCGGAGCCAAAAGTTGTGAGGCACCGGTGTTAGAAGATCCCAAACAACTGCCTTTGTTCTGCTTTCTGTGCAATTTTTCCCATGCAATCAATCTGCATTTTGTTGGCATATGAAATGAACCAGCTAAATTGCAAGCCAAGGGAACAATAGCTCTCGATAAGAAAGCAGCACTAATCTTATGAAGAAGGTCTTTATGCATACGTGATGTATGATGGTAATCCATCACAAATTGAATCGCTATCTTAGTTCTTATCTCATAACTGAAACTTTCCAAATTTCCCTCAACGCTCCTGCTTGATTGTTTTACTTAACAGTACTTGACTCATCAAACAGTTACAGTTTCCGTCCGTTGTAGCAATATTAGCATATCACATAAAATAATGATAAGTCCACGATTTCTATTGTTTTGTTTATATTATCCACGGGGAACTGACCCTATGTACTAAATTTTATCGGAAAAATCCATTACGGTTTTGCTCCCGTGTCATTCAACCTGATGGCGTGGGTGATTCTCGAAGCGTTGGCCCCTATACAACAGTCGACCTCTAGCCATTAGGATTGAAGTCCGATGACGACATAAGACTAACTAACCAGTCTCCTGTCTGGTATCTTATTCATGATAACAGTAAAGCGATAATACAATCTCCCTTCTAATTGCGCATTTCATGTAAAAAGCTTCAGTAGCAGTAGCATCACGAAGTACGTCGAATCGTACTGATCAATCGTTTATGAATTATAGTTAGTCTGATGAAATGTCTAACGATTGCATTGCATGTAAAACGTGAAACACTTAGTTTTAACTCTTCAATAACTGGGAAAATCTCTTAGCGAAAAAGTTTGTCCTATACATGCGAGCCTAGATCCCTTTTTAGTCAGGAAGGTATCTAGAAAAATGAATTTACGATGATAGACCATCAGTGTGGTAAGGCCACTGTGTCGCGGTTGTTTTTTACTCATATTTATTAACATATTATTTCTGCGCGACGCAAACGTCATATCCATAATCCATCACTGTCTATTTTGAGCCACTAACGAGGAAATGGTCCATGACTTATATCTCTTAACCAGCTCGCCTGGCCAGGGAAGCATTTAATCAAGAGAAAGAGAACACTATAATATAGATGATCGGACGAAGCCGCCCAAAATTGTTTTTCTTTGTTAAAGAAACATGTTTGTATTTGGATGGCTCAACGCATCCCACAGCGTCTATTCGACGTTAGCCTACGTGGAGTCCTTCGGGTCTCTCCCACTATAGCGTTGGAGGTTAACTTACTCATCGTAACCATACGGTAACATTTTTTTGTTCTAGTATAGATTAAGCTATCCCTATGAATCGGAAACTAATCGAACTAAACCCACGACCACATATACAAAGTATTGTAATTCATCTTGGATAAAGCAGGTACTATTTACTATTGAAGAATGGGAAAACAGACGCTCTACAAAGCCATAATAACATGACATAACAATACAACGCAATGTTTGGCGGCAAGGGTATACAGGAGTCGCAAAAGGATTCTCAAGATTTTTTTCTTAAAACTAGAACTTCGTGACTGTTATATGTATTGAGTTTTGTCGTACAGTGATACTTCGTAATAGATTTATTTTTGCAAGGCCTGAAATTTCTCGGCATGTTATATCCCTGAAAAATAACTAGTGCTTGCGACTTTGTAGCAGGACGATTGCTTGAATAGTTCATGTATATATGTAACAATACTTTCTGCACCAAGTAACTTTTACACTTCGTGACTGAAAGGTGGAGTGTGATCAAAGTCTGGGGAGATATTATGAGCTTGCTCTGTAGACGAATGTCGAATAGCGAAAAGCAGTTAACCATCGTCCGTTCAAATGCGGGAGACCCCTTCGGACAGAAACAAGTCGTTTTCTTGGCAAGACAGTCTGCAAATGAGGTTAACTAACTACTACACAGTGTTGTAATCTGCTAGTTCAGTTACATTTGAGTCACAATCCCGGGCGCTGTTACCGACAAGGCCATCTAAAAGAATCGTTCTGGCGACCAACTCGCTTGCGGCCTTCTTATACCGGTCTTCGCTGCTTCACGCCACCCATATCGACTCGTAGACAACGACAGTTCATCGTCTATTGTAATGTTTAGCGCTATGCATCTGCCCTATGGACTGTGCTCACTCTGAATGGCCTTTTATCCCCTTTGGGTCAGTTGCCCCGTACCACTCCGCTCTACATTCGTAAACGTCGCAAAATACGTCGAAGGATTAGACCCGGTCGTCACCATACTATTTGGATCGGTGAAGTCACCATCCTCGTACAGCTACATAAGTAGGTTTTAACAGCGTCTATTGTGTCCAATATCTGTACAGCTTTACGTGCATGTCCCAAGGTAGGGAATTTCACGCCTTTCAACGACACCAAAACATTACTCAGCTGACGGCACGTATGAAAAGTGCGTGTAGGAGAGCTGGCAGGTCCGTTAAACCTGTTACATGGTTGATTGCCAATCGAAGCTTCTGCAAATCACAAGTTTGCAAGCGACCTTAATTTATTTCCCTTCCAAAGAATGTCATCCGATGTCTTCATTAGCCAAATGCAGTTGAACAATGAAGTGAAGGCATATTTTATGGAATTTTTCAGTCAGGGCCATGAGCTTGGGGTGACACGTTTCATTTAAACACATAGTGAATATGAAGTAGTCATTTAGGGATTTAAGTGGACAGTAGTGTCGAGGCATTTGGCCAATAAATTCACGCAGGGGTCCGCACCAATATATAGTAGCATTAGCTAGTTGATGGTAAGCGATTTGTCTGGCCGAAATGTTCGCCCCCCTATACCGGTGCATGCAAGGCTAATTTATATTGTAAATAGTGTTCCTCAGTGCAGCCATATCTGTTTTCTAACAACAAACATAATATATGTTGCTGCTGATCTGTAAACAGATTCACTTGATTTCGATGGCCTTTTGTGCTGCTCCTTTAAAGTGAGGACAAACTATTTGTTATTGGGTTACAACAAGCATGAGTAACAACAGGGACAATAACGCTGATTCAGTTCAACAAAGAAAAATGTTTCGCTTCTCTGGCAAGTAAGTAACACGCGTAATTCTCAACGGCTTATTTAAGCGTACGCGTATTTTTTGCGTAAGTTGCAGTACGTCGCTTAGAAAGAGATCGATAAAACGAACCAAACGCTAATTTGCAAGTAACTTGGTAAATGGCTGGAACAATTTTCAGTCCATCATTAACGACTACGTTAGCGCTAGTAGCAGTCGACTTATTCTGTTTAATAAAAAAAGCTCTATTGATAGAAAACATGCGTTTTAGTTTTCGGCTTCCGGTTATTTCTGTCCGACGGAGTTATAATGAGGGCTTGAGCGTCAGCTAGAGGCGTCTTCATACAACCTACGTCGCCCTGCCGTTTCTATCAGCCGAAAGCACGCACAACTGCACGCCAACACGTCTCCAGTGGCACGATTTTCTCACCACTAGATTCCTATAACCTGATACTTGCTACGTTCGTTATATATGCATAACCATTCGACTACAGTCACGCTTGGCCAACTGGAGACGTTCACCCAGCGGTTAGTAAGATAGCGGAGCACAGCAGGAGATAACGTTTTGCAAGTAGTTAATAATGTACGTAGAAATTTAAAAACATAACGGTGTGAAAAACGGCTTTGGTCATCGTGCTATTAGAAATTGTTTTATTTACAGGTTTAGCTGAGGGTCAAACCAAGGAAGACGCCAACAGAGTTTGTGCTACTGATTCATTGACAGCTTCTGTTCTTTTTTTTTTAATAAAACGAGCATAAAAAGTCTTCAGCAAAAAAGTGTTTTCTTACTAAGTAATAAATCTAAGACATTTCACAATCCCATACGTCATTCAAATAAAGTTAGTTTATCCGTATACGACTATAGTCAGGAGGTGCGAAATAAGCGATCTTAGGATTTATAGACAATAAAACCAAGCGAACATTGTTTTGACGACGTTTACTAGAAAACCAATAACACCTGTAATCTTGTTTACTTACAGATGTGGTCGTTTTAATGCAATTCTGCAAAAAGTTGTGAAAACGTGATCTTGCTTTTATCCATAGCTACCATGAATTTTTGTCGGTGGATTGCCACCGGCGTACTTCTCATTATAATTGCAACGACGTTAGTTCAAGGTAAGTTAAGTGTCGCACTATCAGTTAGAAAAACATGTAGGTGGTAAGTTTTTTTTTTTTTATAGGAATAGCTCTGTCAGGATGACGTTGAACTATATGTACGTTTAAGGCTCATTGTGTTAATTAGTCCAGGCATCGAATGGAAGCAACGTGTGATACCCTATTAAGGAAAACTTCTTACACAAGCGATGGCCAATAAATTTTTGATTACATAGAATATTTATGAGCATAGCGGTAATGCGACCCCGTTTCATACGTCTCTAAGATCCAAATCCACCAGAAGGCAAAAATGGCAGTCTTTCTACTGATGTCAAAATAAACGATTTGCGCAAGAAATAAGAGCTTTTGTGGACTTCTTAGAAATATGGCCATATTACGTTCTGTTCGCTAGCTGAATAGCATAATGGTCACTAATTCCTTTTTGTTAGGTCATTTGTAGAGGCGCTTCCATAAAGCACTTCATTACGCCTAACGTGACCATTCGTAGGCAACACAATCTTCGCACAATGTAAAAAATAAAGTGTGAAGTTTAGAGTTTGATTGCGTATACGCTTGTTAAAGCAGAGACCTCATTGTTTGACGGTTTAATTTGGAAATTCGGGAATTCCTAAAAGGTGCCGTATGCTTCTTGGATCAACAGCAGCGTATACACAAAAACACCAGCCATCTAACATGTTCTCGATCGACTTCAAATGAATTTGTTTCAGCGCGGGCCCGCTACTGTTACACATGTCGTTCTAGGGGTGACAGAGGTGACTGCAAGGACCCGTTCGCGTACAATTCCACCACTGCTGAAAAGAATAAAGCCGTTAAGATCACCCCTTGTGCGTCGCAGTGGTGCGCTAAATTTATCGAGGGAAAGGAAGGAGGTAAGTATCACTTCTGAGAATAACATTGTTCGTTAATTGGAAAGATTTATCAGTTGTAACACATGGTAATTACAGCTTCGTTGGAGTGTCTTTTCGATGATAGTTGAAGGATTGAGATTCTTTGATTGATTGAGGATTGAGTGATCGCTATTTCCATTACCTAACTAAGAGCAAAACTAGTTTGTTAGGATAGCGTGTATAGATTGTTACGTAAGTTGAAATATGTCATTTATGCTTCGAAAGTACGCTTCGAAAAAAGAAAGCTTCGTAGAGTCTGTGAGCTAAAGTATCAGTAGGTGATCCTCAGTTTAAAAATCAATCATCGTGCAAATAAGAACAGCGATCATTCGGCACCGTATGTCATCGTAGGTGCTAACATGCTAGCTATTACGTTAAAAGCTGTCATTGTAGATCGCGCTTCACGTCACCGTAGAGGATAGTTCACGCTTGATACTAAAAATATTACCGCTACGTGCTGACACATGATGCAGATAATTACCAAAATATCTACTTTATAGGTTCAGCTCTCTGTACTGCTTTGCATTTCGGTTTGTCTGAATATGGTCGACAAGAAGATTTTTATGTAAATCACCATAATAAATCACTGATAAAGTATCGACCGATGCGTTCTAGAATTCTTGCCTGCTCAAAATGGCCAGTAGGTCTAACGTAGCATACGCTCGCATCTGTCGACTGCCATTATTCCTGCAACGAAACAGTGCTATATGGTTGGATCACGGAGTCGTAAAATTGTCAGCGATAGCTCGGCAAAATTAACGCTTCATGCCACGTTCGAAGCTACCACTTCTGCTGTATTTATCTGCTGGATTGGTATCGACCATAACTATCATATAGCAGTGACCAACGATCATCGGCCTGTCTGCACGAGATCGGACGACGCGATAGTCTCGCCCGCGTTCAGGTCTATTAGGACTTATATCAAAGTGATGTCGTTTTGCGAGTTGTTACACCTACCTGTTTCTAATGCTAAATAGAAACGCGTATGTATCTTAACTGTATGTATACTGTAAAGATTTTGTATTTTAGTAATATTAGTAGCTACCATAACGAAGGACAGCGGACTTGCATTGTTTTGAATAGGCTGAGCTGCTTTTGGGTCTGACAGAGCTTGCTTCATCTACGAGAAGCCTATACATGGCTCAACGGAAGGATAACATAGCATCGCATTGGTTTTGGCTCTACATTAAGCAGTGTGTATCATCCACTGTTGTCCTGTAGAACATGCTTACTGGGGACAGGGCGAAGTCACCAGTGATATTCGTAATACTAGAGCGCCATCACTTCATTGGCGAAAAGCGGATTATAGCTTTGCAAAGGCGACCGTACTCCGAATTCTGTCGTACTGAATGAGAACGCAAACAACGCATGTCTGTATGGCTATGTCATGACGTCATAAGAGAAATTCACGTTTAAGCCACCTCGTTAGACTCGCATATTTACATCGAACGGACCACCCCAACCTATGAGGTTCAAAGGGTCAAGAAGGACAATTCGCTCTGTACTATAGAGAAGCAGGGCAATAAGTGAGTGCGAGTTGTGCCCGAATGCCTGGCGTGAATGTTGAAAGGCGGCACTGGCGACCATGACTGCAACAGCCATGAAAAATATCCAAAATCGCACATTGTAGGCGGCGGGAAATGTGTAATTTTGATACACCAAAAGCTAAAGCACTTATCCAGTCGAACAGCCGCATCATTTAGAATTGACATGAAAAATCCTAGGGTTCCGAACTGTCTACGACGGGATTAGGGAAAAGCAAAATTAATAAGTGGCTATACTGTATGCCTAACATGTATGTAAGATGAAACAAGAAAATACAAGCTGTAGACACTGCAGTTATGACCGTGTTTTTGTCAGTCACTGGGTTTGATAAGGTTGCAATTAATTAGGAAGGTAATAACAATTCTGACGTCTGGCTTACACTTGCGCGTTGGTAGCGAACAAACTATTGAGCGGCCTTATTCTTTAGCAGCAAAAGATTACTTTGTTTGTGTTTGCAATCGAAAGAGCTTACTGATTAAAAGAAAACAGTTTTTTTTTCTTGAAAAAAAAACTAGCCACGTTACCGTTTAGTATTGATAAATTGGTAGTGGCAATTTTTATGACCTATCAGGCCCAGTATCCGTGGGAGACCAAAAAATAGTTTTTTGGCTCAATAGTATAAAGCAGCAGGTTATATCGGCGTTACACTTTCAGTATGTTGCATTTTTAAAGCCTCTCTGTCAAATTTGGTAACCTCCGACGGACATTCACTGAGCTATCGTCCGTTGATTCATTAGAGTAACATAGTCCTTCGTACATGCCCATTAGTAGCTACCTAGAAATTTTGCTTAGGAGAGGAAATATCAACATCTTTGCTTACACTACAAGCAGAGTTCTCCAGTACCGCTATGATTTCAACTGCTTTGTATGGCGCCACAAAGTGTCAACTTCCTACATGGATTTGTCGTACCCAGTGGAAATATTTGAGCAGAGCAACAATTTGCGGGCACTAAGCTCTTCAACGTGTACTCATACGTAGAAAATCTACATCATTCCGCTTCTTGGGAAAGCCCTCGGATACAACAGATTTCTAGACAAGAACGGGTTATATTGTTCATTCAACCATAGTCGTTCGCGGCTTAAATGAGTTTTCGAAATATCGGTGCTTCTACCATACTGCTTACTACATCGCAATGGTCGGCAGGTCACACACGTGAAGGTCAGGTTTGTAGTGGTTGGCTGAAGGTCAATACTGGGGTGTCGGTCATACATTATCAAACTAGGTGGGTAGGGCTAGCCCTCGTTGGCATCTCGAGGACAAGCTAGAAGCGGAATGGTACCGTGAATCGCTGGTGAGCTTCGTTAACGACACACTATAGAGGACGACTAGCTAACTAGTGATCATAAAGAACACTAATTGTTTTTAGTCAGCAGTTACTGCCATTGCTACGAGGCCGTTGCAGGCCGTTAGGGAAGCGAGTTGTTCTGGCTTGCAAGGGCCTTTAGCTATCTGCGTATACAAATTAATTGGCCGAACGAGTTGTTTTGTTTAACAAGCGAGTTATTAGACAATATATATGTGTGTCGGTCTTCACAAAAATATTGGTATACAAACATAATCGGTAGACGTTAAAAGCAGTAGTAGGAGAATAACTGATTGTCTGAATCAGTGCATCATTAAATCAAAAAGTACCTCACAAGTATTAATTCTAACCAATATCGTTGGTTTTCCGGCGTATAAATTTTGTGAATTAATTCACTTGTACACCGAGTAGTTTTAAAATCAGAATCGAAATTTAATTTGTTCACAACCCAGATTCGACGTTTTAAAAGCTGACGGACTGCCCTAACAAACATTTCGCGTTTGTGTTTTATGTTTAGATGACGATCTAGCCACAGAAAGGATGTGTCTTCAGAGGCCACCAGAAGACCAAATGGAGCGCTGCGCTGAGACGTTGTACCAGCGGAGGAAAGTCTTCATGTGTATGTGCAAGGGTGACCTCTGCAATTTATCCAGTACCAACCAAATGTCGCTTTCCGTCCTCGCGATCGGAATCTTCATCGCCTTCAGAGGGATACTATAGAACTGCTAAAGCCCACGAACCGTGTTAGAATTCTTTATTAACGCTCATTTTACCTCAGTTAAACTGTTACGACGTTTCTCAAACCTTGTGTTTTTGTACGCTTTTTCCAGAATTTTTGTATGCTATTTAATTATGCCGACAATCAATTTACATTGAGCAAATTGATCTAGAGGTGAACAAGTCGCAAGTTTAGAGATGAAAATAATCAAACTAGACTTTGGAAACAGTTCAGATATTAGTGTGTTCTATAGCTATCACTAGTAGGACTTCTTAATACTACTGTGAACTGCAGCAGGACAAATTAGATACATACTCTTGGCCTATAAAATAGGACAAAGGACTTCTTAGTACTACTGTGAACTGCAGCAAGACAAATTATGATACATACTCTTGGCCTATAAAATAGGACAGAAAAAAGGTCTAGCTTAGTAGCGCACAGGCGGTAACCCCTCAACTAAGCCTGCTTGTTCGATTAAGTGTTAGGTAGGGAACATCTCTGCTTATACCTTTATTCCTAAAGGCGGATTATTTTGTAGAATAAATAGCAGCACAAAGCCGTTCTCCTACTTATACAACATTGGCTCAGAGTCGGAATGGCGTTGAAATCATCTGGAAAAATCCGTATACTGTATACGGTAAATTTTTCTCTCTTGGTTTAATTGATGCAATTCATTTACAAACACATATGATGTTAATCAGAGGGCTCACCTTCTGAATCGCTCCGGCTGCCATTATTGATTGAATTAGTATGCCGTACTCCGCTATTTTGTAAATCGATCGGTAACGTCAGATCAATGATAATGATTGCTCTATTACAGTTGTGACTATTTTTCAAAATGCACATGATGACGGTAGTGATCAGAGCATGCCTCTGACTTTGGCACTATACTATATATAATATTGTCTGTCATCGTCAAATTTTATAATTAGTCTTTTTTCGAATGTTTTTACGATAGTCAGTTCTATCGTCATTTAGTAAACGGGTACACATCTTACCATACAAACACATTGTAGACAATACATATATAACGCTATACGTATCGAATATAAGATGACATCAACAAATCTAAACACGTATATAACAAAAAAGGACGAACGAAGTGACGAAGAAAGTAGTCTTTTGACTATAATTGTTATTTTTGTTTTTGTCACCGTTGATTCAGCGCAGTAGGAGCGATGGTCACAACAGCAGACAGCCAATAATAGGTACGTTTGGCCGACCCATTTTTCAGCGGCGGTATGATCGGACGACAAAGTACATTGCCGATACGAAGCGATTCGGAGTCTCCTGAAACGCGCGTGAATATCCTATCTAAAACGTTCGAACTAGACTTACTGAATCATAGGCTATCGTATATTGACTATCGGTACGAGCAACAGAGTATTATAGGCGAAGCGGCACATAACTGATCGGAGAAAGTCGCTATCGGCCACAAGCTATCGGCAAATACATATTTACACTTCTGTCCGTTATCGTTAAAAGACAAAATCGAATAAATATTTTTTGTACTCAGAGAAATGTCGTCATTCAAAAGAGTATCAAGGGATAATATCTGAAAGCAACACGCTCTCAGATTAAAAACCAAGCTCCTTGACAACGGCTAACCGTTATACGTTTGAAACTAAACAAATCAGTTAAGCTTATGCACACAAAGGAGATTAGTCAGGGTCAAAAACAAAGGATTTGAGGTCGGTATTTGATAAACGTTTTGTAATAATAACATGAGCTCATATACTATTGCCGTGCTGCAGCGCGCGATGAGAATGAATCTAATTGAAAAAATCTCTTAAAATACAGTCTTGTGTTTATAGCTTGATAAAGAATATGGTCAATGATAAGGACACAAAATTGTAGAAGCGAGAGTGCGTCCACACGCAGAATGTAGACATTCTGGATATTTCGTTTCCATTATGAGCGACGAAGACTATATCGAAAACCCAACACGATTCCTGATACACATATTGCCCTAATTAAGAAATGTTACTGAATAAAACATTAATAACAAACTGTTGACTGACTTGTGCTGATTTAAGTTAGCCGTTGTATATAAAAAAAAAAGAAAAAAAAAAAGGCTTGTTTTAGGGGAGACACGGGACATAGTAGTTGTTCAGGAGGACGATAGCCGGTCGTGACGCTAGAAATTCCGGTACAGTCACATGCCACTCCTATCTCAGGATTCTTAGCAGCTTCACATGCTAATATTTAAAATGATTTTAAGCTCTTTTTTCTGTAACATGAGCATTCAGTGAACGAAAGACTTCCTTTTTACGCAATGCTCTGCCCTGCTACTAATGCAAGTTCTATCAACTTAGTGCGGTTGCGATTAAAGGTTAAATGAACAATGTCTGCTATTTGCTCAGAGACACAGTCTATCTAATTGTTGGTCAAATTATTTTTTGCCAATAATAATAATAATAATTATATTATCTAAACGAATAGTACCTAGTAGATAATATATGTGTAGCATGAAGTTAATAATTGGGGAGGCAGGCTAGTTGTTGCATTTTTTCACGAATGTTGAAAAACAAAGTTAGAACACAAATGATGATGCACAGAGGCTTGTAACAGTGACAATGTACATAATTCTTGCTATAAATTCGAACACAGGCAACGCAAATGCTTAATCTGCTTGTCACGCTACCCAATATATAAAAATAAAAATGCCCAAAATATTAAAAACACCATGCTGAAATTTGTCGATTAGGACCAGCTCGATCGTTTCATCTTCTCTAAACTGTATTGACCTGTAGGAACGTTGACTTAGACTTGATTGTCATATATGGCGGGGAACAGTTCCGAGTATGTTATTAAAAAAAAAATCCTACAGGATTTTTCTTACACAAGTAGACGATGTATAATTTTTAAATATTTGTCGGGTCTAGCATATTAGACACCGGCAATAAAGCAACGAATAAAAGTTGCGAGAAAATCATTGCTTAAACACTATTTGCTGTAAAGCTGCAATTTGTCGATCAGTGAACAGGGGTCCGGTCAGGGTTTTAGGATCGTGCATTGCGATAGCAGTTGTTCTTGAGCATCCTCTCAACGTAAATAGTTAAGGTCCAGCTCTTAGATAACAAATGGCTAACTAAACGCGCTAAGGGACTTCTAACCAAGAGATATATTATGATTTCTTTTCTGATACTATGAGTTCAGCGTTCATAGATGTTGATGTTCCTGCCTCCTGCACGTGACTGCGCGAAGTAAGCGCTCCCCAAAGTAAGCCCAACAGCACATGTAGTCCTCAGTATCCTTTAACTGTACCCACAATTAATCTTGACGATATTCCAACCCACATACGCACTCAGCCAGCACAACGCCTATTGTACACATATAACGGTAAAACAAAGTAGCGCTAGCATATAGTCCGAATTCTTAGTTTGATCTTCCGTATATGCGGAACAGCTCCACGGGTAAGGTTTATTTTGTTCAGCTGAAAAAGGATCGTATCTCTATTGATTCAATAATATTCCTTTTGGGTTGGGTACACATTGCAATTAGGTTATTGAAGAAGATTCGTCCCATACCCCACATGTTTCGTTTAGCCTCTAGGTTTAGAGTTTTACGTCCCGTGTCTACGCCCGTCGAATGTGGATCATAACGTGTCCCTAAGGTTAAAAGGCAACTACGTTACCACAGGAACGCCTTGTCTAATGTGTGCCAAAAGAGCGGCGACGGTTCACTTTTTCCACTTGTAAAAGATGCAAAGTTGCCAACCACTGTGATAGCAGAAATGCTTTATAATAGGACTATAGGATGCTGGCATCCATTTTGATATGACTCAATCTAGATCAGTTTAGTCTGAGTGTCACATATCCCTAGACCCATCGACAACAAGTTTGGGTTACGCGTCTCTTGTCTCGATTTCAATTCTACCTTGAACAAAGTCTTTGTATTTGGTACAATAATAAATCTCAATAGGCCACATAGCAAACTACTACCTGTTCTACTATATGAAACAAGTATTTTGTATCAAACTCTATTTCATCGGTCCCGTTTATCTTAGCAAAAGTCTGTAGTCGCGTATCGAACTTTCAACAAAGCCAAATGGAAATTTCGAAAACACTTAGCAGTATCCTGTTGCTAATATATGTCAATAATACGGTTACTTTCGCATATAGTGTGTACCGTAATGGTCTGTACTAATCTGGCTATAGATTGGCTATGCTTATTAATTACAAGCTTTGTAGACGACAAACTGCGACGCATGAGATATGATCATACGCCGTTTTGTTTTTTTTTTTTATTTTGCACAAAAAGTAGTATAAAAAGCAGAGTATTTATGCATTTACTCTATAACACGTATCCATATAGAGTCTTCATCTTTTCCTGTATGATTCTATTAATTAAACTTTAAGTTTATGAAAATGTGATCATTATAAAAATACCTCATGCATTGACGAGATTTACATACCGGAAGAGTGGATTAAAACAATTTTTTTGCTTAGTTCGTCATTACCACGTTACTATCATACCCACTTTTAAGTGAATTCAACCCAATTCTATTGCCGTACGTAAATCTACAGATCACGCGTGTGTATGCACATTTAAGCATAGTGCCTTCATCGCCGAGCCCGGGCTCGGTATAAAGCTTTACGGCTGGCCGGATTTTATGCATACCTAATTGTTCGAGTCAATGAAACCGATGAAACAACTGCATAGGCTTACAACAAAAGCTGTGCATAAGCACGGAAATTGAATATATCTATATATAACGTACCGAAGCGACAGGGAAATTGCACAACTACAGTTGTTATACTCGGAGACTGTGACAATTTTTACTGTTTGCCGTGGTGAAATCGTCTACCATTAAAACCATATAACCCCACAGCTGAAACGCTGCCCACTATGCTATTTTGATTATATATGTTTCCGCGCGAATTTCGCCGCTGTATCGACAGGTGGCGCTATGTGTCCGCTAGCTATTCCGTTAACACGTTAGTTGTGTTGCACGGCAAGCTGCAAGCGGGCCCGTTAGCGTCAGCATTGGACCCCGTAGCACCCCAGTCCGCTCCGCTGGCTCTTCAGTCTGCAGAAAGATCGCGATCACGATGGATGCCGCCGGTGGATCAGCTACGAACCCCGTAGCTGATAGCGCCGCCGCGAAGACAGCAGTCGCAGCGATTACAGTAGCTACGGTAACAGAACTAAGCGTAACGAACGCAATTACGAGTGACGATCACAATAGTTCCAGCAATGGTGAAAGCGGTAGTAGTATAAACCATATCCAGATGGGACAAATGATGCGAGGTAGCTATTACCTCACTGTGTGCGACGTTGTGGAGTCGAAGAAGGGACACATCAGTCTGTCGGCTGCACATAACGCTTCTTTTATGCAGGTCCGTGTGCCGTTAGAGTTACCGGAACCACTCGAGCCAACGGTTAAAGGCCGGGATCGCGAGAGCCCTACAGAGATGTCTTCGTCGTCGGAAAGTGATGAAGACGAGGTGGTCGCCTTGTGTCGAGATTTCTATAGGCGACGTCTCAGTTCCAAATGGATTGTTCGTCAAGAAGATGAGGACCTTACGGAAAGTGAATCTTCAGATCATCCGAGTAACACACTAGCGAATGTTGGTGCAAGTGTGGCCGCTACAATGACTGAAAATGCGAAAAGGGACAGTACGCTAAGCAACAACAGCGTTAATAATGTTAAAAGCAGCCAGATACCAAATAAAACAGCGGCTACAAACATGACTGGAGATTTTCGTAATACTAGCGCTCTCATCACCGAAATGACGGCCGCGGAAAATGTCACCACAACACATGTGGAAACGGCCGCACAAGGAGTTGTAGTTAGTGAGACGGCAGGCGAATCTGATCATGACTCTGGCATTGAGGTGTTAAATCACGCCTCGAGTAACTCTTCTGTCGAAGACACGGGGCGGGCCACATCTTGCAATAACACTAATGACATGATTGAGGATAACGTGAATGCAAACTCCATAAGTAAGGGTGCATCGAAGCCGCAACCGCAACATAATCAAATGGATATTTACTTATCAAGCACAAGTGCCATCAGTGGTGCGCCCATACAGGATTATAATGGTAATGGCGGTGTGGATACCCGTGTGGGTCAGGTGGATAGAAACTCCGAGAATACAGGGTGCGCAACAGCGAAAGTCATTCAATTATTGTCAATGGAAAATCAAAACGAGGATAATTCAGTGATTGTGTGCCCGTTCGAACAGTTACAAGTCCGTCGATCGAGTCTACTGGACGAGATAGAGGAAACTACAATCAAGTTTGCATCGAAGCTGAATTTGCTTAAGGCACAAATTGTAAGTTTTCTAAAATACAAGTTGTAGTTACGGTAGGGTATAGGTTTGCTGCGCACTTATTTAATAAGCTAAGGTACAGCATAAATAGAGTTTAGCTTCAGAAATGGGTTTTTTTTTTTTCCCGCTAGACTGGAATGTGTCTCAAATGCGCAAACTAGACCCATGGAATTTGCTTCCCTTCATTGGTCATTTTGGGATTTGTCACGTGAAGAAGACGTTCACAGATCACCGGATGTCATACGCTGAATAGCTGGAGCAAGTTACAATGGAAGTACTTGATGACAGTGCTTCTTTCTAGATGCGAATGCGGTTGAATTGGCATTGATGCCCCAACTCGTATAGGAGATGACGGGACCCACCCTGCTCGAAAATCGAGGGACCGTTCACATAGAATAAACCAGAACGGCGGATATCACTGCGAACAATGTTAATTATGGCTTCTTTATTTGAATCTCTGCCCTACAGATAGGGCCGGAAGAAGGGAAACGACCACTGGAGCACGAGGCATGCATTGAATTTTACTGTCACTAATAAAAGAAAAAAAATATTATCATTCATGCATTCTCATTTGGCTACTTTTACACAGTACTCTTATGGTGGTTTCAACTGCCAGTTTGTTGATGGCTTTCCTGCTTCCCTATACTGTATGACAAATGCCTATGTAAATCGTTGTATATATATATATACATACTTATGTATTTCAAATCATGCAGATGCGGTTTGCTAAAAACTATGCCTGCATTTATGATCTTCTATTAATGGCCAAGTATCACGAATTGTTCACCGCTGATTCGCAATACATCTACCGCTATCACCATGTCCTACGCGGCCCCGGCCACAGTAGCGTCTTACATAGGCCAGACGAGCCTGTGTAGTAGTAATAATAATAATAGTAATATACTTTCGGCATACATCAGGTAGTCGACTGTAACCATTTCGCCTTAGAAAGGTTGCGGTACACCGGCTACCTAAGGTTTGGACTTTTATAGAAATAATATACCACCACCCCGAAAAAAATACGGGGGCCGGCAACACGCACGAACGCTGAATCGTCGCGCCGCTCAAATTCTCACGAGCCAACAAAGAGTATTGCAGATATATGATCCTCGTTCTTGCTGTGATTCTTTTTCCAATAATTATTAATGGCGGCATATTGTGACAGCCCCACATGTAACGCGACTCCCACAAGTAGTGGCAAAGAGTGGAAGCTAGGAAAAGAAGAACAAACTATTTACCTAATGCTGCAGTCTCTCCCGAATCTACAATTCCCATGAGTCCTACTATGAAAACCCAAGTGCAGTTGAACTTGAAAAAATTCACGCGTCATAATTATTCATTTGTACGCTTTTGCCCATTATTTACTTTCTTTTCGTGAGCTTTTGCGCCACTGTTATACCAGAGTCTTATTCAGTGTGTATTATGAATCGGCTGTTCATTTGGAGCGCTTATCACATATTTGAACGCCTCGCTACACAGCGTTATTGTTTCCTCTTAAAGTACTACCTCGAGGGTGTATCAGTTTACTTCCAGAGAAACTCATGTTTCGCAGTTGTTTGTATTCACCGATAGTCCCGATTGGCACAATCACCATCATCACTCATCAGTGTTGCAGCCGTCATAATCTATGTGTAGCCAACGTGAAGAGCTAAACCGAGCTCTTTTGCTGTTCTCTCTGCACTCTATTGTCCGCTATCTAATTGATACAATCTCAGCCATTTCATCGACTTCCCGAAATCATTTTCAAAAATTGTGCCAGCGGCTGTTGTCTGCTAAGACAAGCACAACTACCAATTCTCCAGCTCCAGCGCCAGCGCCGGCAAGCGGCGCCATGAACCCCACCATAGTACGCGAGTTGCCCGCCCAATTTCTTTACGTTGTACAGCGATGTGTGCGTAAACCAGAGTACGCCAATATAGTTACGATGTTATGGCATTCTGCTAGAGAATCTGCGAACAAGCAGGGCCGTTCTTGATAGAACGGGAGAAGGCGGACCAGTGAGTAAAGGGCCTTCCGTATCTGTCGCAAGAAGTACTGTGCCGGCCACCCGCCCGTATTCACTATCGGTTTTCGCCGCCGTTTGCTTTGCCGACACGCAGTCTTATATTATCCGAAAGGTCAGCGAGGCCGATCTTTGAAAGTGAACTTCAAGCAAAGACTTGTTAGGCAAATGCTCGGATAAAAGTCAAAATGAGATAACCCAATGGAGTGAGTGGTTCAAGGGAGGAAAGGTAACGGAGTAGCACTTCTCGTTACGTGTGAAGGGGCGGTAATCTCTCACAGCTGCGGCGGTCCCGGCAATATTGACGGTGATGGCCGACTATCAAACAGTGCATAGCCATCGTCTACAATATGCGGCCGACTATTTTTCTGGGTCGGGCATCTATTAGTCGGCTGCTTTCTGTGAAGTAGCGGATAGAGGGCGCTTGCTTGGCAAGCATAGCTTCTTCGGTACAATATACATACGTGTATATTTTATTCAAAGTGTCGCTAAGTGCAAAAAGCAAGGTCGTGTCAGACGGTTGCATGGGGGCTGCCGTCTTGTTCTGGCGTATAATTGCAAGTTGGTTGAGGTAGAGATTCTTTCAGAGTTTTCTCCACGATATGAAAGCCGTACCGTTTGTGAGAGCAACAACAAGTTGTGTGAAAATCGTTGCGAGTCGCAAAGCGCAAGGCTAGGGATATATAACACTGGACTTTTTCGTCGATTCAGTCTGATAACATGGGATCACTTTGTCATTGGCTAGAACTAGCGACTGCACATGTATCTCTAGTTAGGTGCATTGGGTCTCAGAGAGAAGTTCTGGAGCATGCTGGGAGATGAACGTTCTGTCAGTAGACGCTAATGAATACCAGGAATTTCATTTTTATATGGTTGCTGGCTCGCTCCTATGGCAACCTGACTAAACAGTTGAAAGTTGGAACCTCCTTAGAGGAATTTCTGGTAGAAACGAATGTGAGCGGCAGAGATCGAAACTTTGCAGCTGGTCTGCTATTATGGACTTGGAACTTTTTGTGTAGGACGTAGAGGAAAACTGCCATGTTACGGATGAAAGTGTCTGCCTCACTGGCTGCCAAAGAAATTCATGCGGAAAATTACCAGATATTCCACAAATTTATTTGCCACTGCATACGAAGCCTGTTTCTGCTTCTATTTACCGACATAGACAATTTTAGTTATTGGTGCAGCTGTAAGTAGAGGTGCGACGCCCCCAACGACAGTTACAAACGCGCCACATAGACAGAACGACGACGGCGTCTTGCTAGCGATAGCAGGACAGGGCGCATTAGTTTAAACATAACACGCATCTGCTCTGACGAACGACAAAAGCAAATTCTTAAATCTGGAGTTAGCCTATTATCAAGTACTTTCTTCTGGTCATCGCGGTGCACTGCCGTCCTACAAAATAGACCTTAGGACATATTTATACCGACAAACAACGAATTCGGTTTTTATGCACGTGATAAATTTTAGTGGATCGCTTAGGCGAGGATAGTTGTGTGAAGCCATTCGGGATATTACCATTAATAAAAAAAAAAACACCGTTAATGGTGACAACGAAAATGGTAACTTTTGCCGAAAAGTTTGAACGACAACGGCGGTTTTTGGCAGTACGGTACCCTCTTATCTGCATCCGCCATTTGTCGAGCGTTTATAAAGCAAGCCTGTCGAAACTTAGCGAACAGCCGAATGGATGCGTTTTACCTTGATAATGACATTAATTAGCTAGCGTATCCCCCCGCTGCCAGTTACCACTGCGGAGTCGTGATAAATTTAAAGAAGTAAACGAAGTCAGCTTGCGGATAAAAGGTCATGTCACACTAACATCCATTCCACTACAGACTTCTTGTCAGTTTTTACTACAAATCCCTAGATACCTATAAGGTGTTATTTCAACCATCGGCCTTCAATGGGCGACCGATGGACTCCCTCTGTTGCTTCAAAATCGTCTTAAAAAGCCGATCCCATACGTAAAAAGGTGAATATTCAACAAAGAACGACAGGTTTGTATGGCTCCGGTGAGGCTCACAATACAAACTGATGTTTTACTACCATATCGACAATAGTAATAATAAACGTAGTCAATAAGCCTGTAGTGGCTTCTTGAAGCGGTAAAAGAAGAGGTCTGTCCGCTACCGTTCTCCATAGTGGCCTTGTCATACCATACCGCCCGGTGGCAAAGTTGACGTTAAAGGCGAGATCGACCAATGCTGATCGATCATTGTAGCGCTACGGAGAAACAGAACGATTGAAACACTGAACCAGTTAGATGTGATTATGTCGGTAAGTTACTTCAAGGCGCAAACCATTACACTGAGCCAGATCAACCGTTTTGTATCATTAACTTGCTTCTGATACTACGCCCACACGCAGCGGTGCCATTACATGGTGGCAATGATGGACTTGCAAGTTCTACACATTTGTTTCGGCGACATCCCTCGACATTCTCGCATCGTCGTAGGTATGGACACATGGGGCACAAGTGGGCAAATTTCGTCAGACTATTGTATATGGGCTAGCAGAACGAAGCAGGTGGAGACAGCGCGACAAATAGCGATACGGGGCAGAACAGTGGAACAGAAGTGAATCTAGATGATTGTTGGATTTATTGATCCTCGACATTCGACAAAGTAGCTTCTGGCTTACCATCCGTTGGCCAAATGTGCCAAGCTCGCATATCATGCTACTGTTGTTTGACTCTCGTTTCTACCACTGCTGATACTGTTGTCGTTTTCGTTTGTTCGGCCCTTCATTGGCAACGCAGTACTATCCATTTTCCTTTTGTTGACCCAGTGTCACTACCATTATGAGCTTTCGGTACGTTTATCGCTGGCTGTTACAGGCAGCATCCAAGAGAAGTAATGTGGGCTGGGGCTCATAGTAAGGAGCAGGCAAACGACTCTTGTTTTTCCGTATAAAGGCGCCGGCCAGCTTAGTAGGTAGGGCAGATGAATCGTGTCAAAAACAAAAGGCGACGGTCAAGATGTAACGATGACTATAC